AACGTTTCGGTGAATTATTCTGCTTGCCGCTCGGTTAACTGTTTATTAGTCTACACTGTAAAATGTTTCTGTTAATTTACACCCAAATTTCAACATGATTAACCTGTTATTTTTAATAACTGCGCCTTACTGTTAATTTTAGGGAATATATGTTAAATAACACCTCATTTTTGTTATTTAACACCTCATTGTTAAATAACACCTCATTTTTGTTATTTAACCGCAAAATCGAAAATTCAAGCAAAGATGTCGGATAACGGTCTGGTATGTTTGTTGATAAATGCCGCTATGCAATTTTATGCTTATTATAAAAAAAGTTATTATATCAGTGGAGAAGTTATGCAATTTCATTTCGGTTTTTTAGGTTGCTATTAAACGACTGATTCAATCAAGGTTCAAGGTTGGGTGGGGGTGGGTGTGTCTCCCCTGTTCTTTCTGAACACGGTGTAAATATCCGTATGACACGCAGCACGCTGGCAGGCGCCACCCTAATATGTCTATTGGCGCCACTATTTGAAATAACATGTTCATACAGTATTTTTTTTTTAATTCTGGGAAGGAGCGTATAAGGCATTTGAACCGGCCGGCAACGAACACGGAGATCCATGTCGGAGGATCGCGGTGGTTACATCGACCAAAATCACAATAATCCGGTGAGAGAGTTTCTTGAAAGTCATGCATAGTTTTAACATCTATCAGTGATGTTGATGTATACTAAACGCCACGGACTTACACCACATGAAATGAAGTAACGTAACTTAGCTAGCTAGCTGCTAATGAGCCTAGGTGATTTTGATAGTTTGTCCATTAATTTTTAGAAACAATGCGCTTATTTTAATGTCCATTTATGTATACGATCTAAATCTATAAACAATAGGCTAACATTAGGCCAATAACTTTAAGTAGCATTCCCGTGGTCAAGTTTGTGTGGCATTCTTGGCATGCAGTCTGGTTAAAGCAGATTTATCCTGAAAATCAAACGGCTAACATAAATCTATTTACTGATAGCTGTTTATGATGCTAGATAACGTTAACTTAGTTGGTCTAGTTGGTCCAAGTATTTAATGAATTCATGTCAGCTGCTCGTCTTTGATGGATTATAGCTGTTTGGGCTACCAGACATGCTGGTGTGACTATTTTATGTGCAGGTTTTAGCCTTACAATGAGGTAAATCCAGCAAAAACAGCTATTACTGATAGGGCTAGTGCAGTATCTAGCTATGTGAACAGCTATTCTCTTTTAATTGCCTTGGTATAGTGCACCCTATTTTGTGTTTTTTTTGTTGCTGTTTTGATTATCATTGAGTTGTAGATCAATGTTTACATTTGTTTTCTTGTTTTTTTTTTATTACAGATGCAGGATACCATCCCTGATCACTGCTGTTCAAGATGATATCCCAGGATTTATATCTCTATCTCTCTATCTATATCCCCTCTCTCTTTATCTAGCTCTTCCTGTCTCTCCATCTCTCATTCTATCTATATATTTATCTATCTCAGTCAGTGGTAGTCTTATGTCGTTAATATTGTGTTTAATTTGTTCTATGTCCTAGGGATATGCCACTGAAGCTGACCTTGAGAGTTCACTATACCTGCAACTCCTCGTCTGATACTTCTTGGTAAGTTGGTTTTAGATAGGACAGTTGGGTTTAGTGTTGTAGTGAATTCAATGGTATCAAACTAAACTATTCAAAATGAAAACTAAAACAGAAATTTGACAGTTAAAACATTTCTGTTTCAGGAGAAACAGGAAGCCGCTTCCAGCGCTGGATGCTCAGCCTTGATGGCCAAATCATTTGCAAAGGGATCCAGTCCACCTTTGTGATAGGGCTGGCGTCTTTTCCCCCCCCTGTTTTTACATCTTTAACCTACAGTACCAAGAGGAGGCAGCTTGCACGATTGAATTCATCCAGAGGTAAGATATTGTCTGTTAACACCTGCATATTTTTCTGGCCTAGCTGTGGCTCAGGCATGGTTTCAACAGGTCTGGTGATGGGATTTAGCAATTAACTTTGATTTAGAAAGTTTTAGTGCAACTTACAATATTCACAGAGGCAAGAAGATAGTGCATGTTGAGGATAGTTCATGTACATTTGTTGTCTTTGTTGTGCTGTTAGTCTGTGTGAATTACTAGATTTTTAACCAGTGTATAATTTTTCAGACGCTTTGTGGGTTTAAACCCAGAAAAAGGGACAAAGGCTGCAAAGGGGGAAAAAAAGAAGAACTTTGTCAATTCACACGTCGCCAGCCACGTCTTGCTCAAGCTCATGGACTTTCAGTGGGATTTCATTTGAAAATGGTGAGTAAGATGTATACATTACACATATGTTCAAACAGCAACAACTCAGGAGCTGGGGAAATTCATTCTAATGTTCATTCTCAACTGCCTTTCAAAGTTAGAATGCTGAATTCCTCTTCCATGCTCTTGCCATTCTTTTTTTGTTCTTTCAATGAATTGTACTCATCACCCTTTCTATTATTTTTTTATTCTGTCTGTTTTGTGCTCTGTTTCTAAAATTAGCTTTTGTTAGGTCAAGCCATGTGATATAATTTTGGATTAAACATTTGAAATTATGGAACTCATATCTCTCTCTCTCTCTCTCTCTTATACAGACCCAAGACTTTGCAAAGGATCCTCATTGTGTGCTTTGAGAAAATGGTTAGTGGTCTAAGCAGTGACAGTTTTTATTGTTTATTGCTCTTTATTGATGAAGAGTTCCATTAAGTGTTGGTTTGAATGTATTCATACATGTTGAATTTTAGTGGTTTATGTAACACTAAGTGTTGAGGTTCAGTATTTTGTTATAATGAACAATGTATTTGAGTTTAAAAATGTATTTGCTACTTTTTAAGCCATGGACATGAGAAAATGAGATTTGTTTGTGATTAATCTGAGCCTATGTGTAAAATTTTTATGTGACCAGGAGTCACTGTGTATATCCTTGGTTTGAGTTTTTTAGCTGAATTTTAGCAGTTCAGGGAACATTAAATGTTGAGGTTTAGGGCCTTATCTTGCACCGACGCAGCGCAAAGCCAAACGCAAGTGTCTTTGCTAGTTTAAGACAGACTCAGTTGTTATTTTCCGTCCAGCGACCACAGATGTCAGCAATGAACATGATATACAGTATATTTCTGTAATTGGTCTGATCCATGTGTGCCTACATTTGTAAGTATTTACCTTTCAGTGTTTGTATTACAATAAAAAAAGTTAATTTCAACACAGAACTATTCGTTTTCTTTCACTTAAGTGTTATCTGATGGATTATGCCTATTCTTGTATTAACTCAAGCTAGAATATGTCTATAACAATCAGTGGTACACGTTACAATATGCTAAAAAAAATTAACAACATTTAATGGAAATAAAATAAATGGTGATTTAACAGGAAAATAATGGTAACACTGCTGCCAGTTGTTTCCTGTTTTTTCTGCGATTTACAGTAAATTCCTGTTGAAAAACATTACGGGGAGTGCACTGTAAAAAAACATTAACAGGAATAAACTGTTAAAATAACAGGAAAATAATGGTAACCCTGCTGCCAGTAATTTCCTGTTATTTAACAGGGAAATAATTAACAGTGTACACTAATTCACAGGCATTCTTCAAATTATAAGTGTAGCTGTTTTATTGATTAGGCCTAATTTGCTTTATATTCTGGCTCAGATCAATATTTCATATCAGTGGTGATATCTTGAGTAGACTATTTCTGCTTCACTATAGCATATTGTTGTCACCTCACCCTCTTCTTGTTAAATATATTACAAATATTACAATATATTATAAACTCAACAGGTTGTTTAGGAGGGGAAAGTCTTAAAATTCTCTTAAAGTTAAAAATAAAATGAAATACTAGTAGCCTAGGCATTGAATAGGGATTCAGTCTCTTTGAGCAGGTTTTCAATAGTCCAGGAGGCCATAATTGGGGCATCTGCATAAAAAAGTGTTAGAAAGCCCACGTTCATATAACAGTAAGGAATAGAAACAAAGTCTACATGAAGTTTTGTGAAAATGTCAATTCTAAATGTTTCTCTTCATTTATGTATCTAACTGTACACTAGGGAAAAAAATAGTTTTTAATAAGAGTATTTTATTATTTTAATAATTTACCTTTAGTAGTGACAATATAAAAGTCATTTATTTTAGAAAAAGTTAGTATTATATAACCTAATTTTACCCTCACAAAACAAATCTATCTATCTATCTATCTATCTATCTATCTATCTATCTATCTATCTATCTATCTATCTATCTATCTATCTATCTATCTATCTATCTATCTATCTATCTATCTATCTATCTATCTATCTATCTATCTATCTATCTATCCATCCATCCAGACAGCCAGCCACCCAGCCATCCATCCATCCATTCATCCATCCATCCATCCATCCATCCAGATGTTTGTCATACCTTCTGCTGCGGTCACCTCCGACGGACCCTTCACCTGGACCAAACACCAGGTTCGTTCACCTGGACCTCGTCCTTCTCGCATTTAATCAAATCAAACAACAGTAGGCTATTAGTCAGACTTAAAGTAAGGTTTTTCATCTGAAGATCATCGGTCATCTTATCAGCCAAACACATACCGGGCATGATGCGTCCTCCTCCTGTATGTTTTCCTTTATAACTGTTCTCGCTGATCACTGATGTGATGGAGTGTTTGATTCGCGTACGTCCTGCTGATGGCGCACATGAGCCCAGAAACCGAGATGCTAGGCTGTCGTCCTAAATAAAAGAGTGTGTGTGAGTTTGTAAGAACATTCCAATTAGAAGCCATAAAGTAGCCTATCACTTTGAATCGTTTTTAAGACACCTTTGTCGTTTTATTAGCCTACATTTATGTATTGTCCTCATTATATTGGCAAGAACTTCTCTTGCAATCATCTGAATCATGAAATAATTGTATAAATGTTTAATAAATGGCAAAAGAAATGTAGCTAATTATCAGGAATATAACGATCTTGCCGTTGGGATTCATTAATTGCCTTCTTTGAATAATTTGACATTTTGTGCTTTAACAACTAAATTAGCAAATGTTTCTATTTATTTCCTACAATAACAAATGAACTGATGCATCATCATCCTGCACATGCAATATCTAAATATGCAGCTTAAAGTAAATGCGCATAAGGGGGCATCTTCCCCCATCCCCCACCATATATGCCATTTTTCTTAAAGGGGTCATGACATGAGAAATCAAATTTGTCTTGATCTTTTGATAGCCTATAGTTGACAAAGGTATGAACACAATTAAAATAGCCTATGCAGTAGGCCTATATGGCAGAATTAGCAGACAAAACGAAAAAACGAACTTCACATTATAAAACAACAACAACAAAAACATAGCCTAATCAAGCTCCAAAAACGGCTTGCTTTGATATTGCGGCATCTGTGGCATCACACAGGCAAAAACATATTTGCATATGACTTCGATGAATAGTTTTACAACATCGCACCTCGCCCACTGTCCATCTATTGGATCTGACAGCAGCATCACAAACTGTAAGTAAATGATTTCATAATGATTTGTCTGTAAATCATGGCTTTATATGGATAATGTTTTCAAAACACTGATGCAGGACCTGGTGGGCGTGGTTAGCCTACTGTTTCGTTAGCCAATCATAACAGTAGCCGTTTACTGACAAGTCATAAAGACGCTGCCCCTTAAAAATGGATCGTTTCAGACAGAGCGTCAGGATGAAGGTTGGAAATAATAGTTTTATCATGCATATATATTTGTTTGTTTTCTCAGGTTATCATAATTTCCCGCTATTAAAACAAAAGCAAAACAAAACAAAAACATCATTTTAACATCATAAGTGTCTCTTATTTGGACAGTAGGGGGCGATCGTACACAAACAACAATGATAGGCCATGAATTTGTAGCCTATGTAAACCACATAGACTTCAAAATGGTCTAGACTATTTGTAGAAATATGAGCATTAAATTCTCTTTATTTCAGAAAGACACACTTTACAGTTCCATAACATTTGCAATCAGCTAAATTACTCTCCAAACTGTCAACTTTTTTTTATAATAGCCTATTACATTTTTTCTCAGTCGCTTTGGTACATTTCTCAGATCATCCTCGAAATTTGCAAAACAGTAAGTGCATTTCTCAAAACAATTCATAGCAAAACACCATGGATTACCTGCAAAAGCCATCTCTTGCTCAAAATCCTTAGTTCATCTCTCAAAAGTAAATATCTGTGTCAATGAACATGTCAGTGCCATCAGAATGACAAGTCCTTGTGTCGTTGTGTACGGATAAGGCAGTCAAATTGCTTAGTCATGTTGTCAATAACAGTGTACTCTGGAGGGATGTTCTAATGTAAAATATGGATATTTTGATGACAATATATTGTAAATTGTAGGTTACACCTAGTATATGTGGGAGTTTGATTGCAAGAGACTGGACAAGATTCACGCTTTTACTGTTTTACTGTAATTTGTTGACAGACCATGTCATTGCAATACAGAAAGGAAAGAAAGCACTGCATAGCACACACAAAAAAAAGTAGAAATCTGAATAGGACAATCTCCTTAAAGGGAAACCTGTAACATGCATATTATGACAACTTGTTCAGCCATTTTCCATGTAAAGACTTATGCTATGAACTAATGCCTAAATGTTGTGGGGAGTGAGACTATTCAACAGAGACCCATTATAATAGATTTTGATCAACATGACATAAGCAATTGATAATGTAAGGAACAGCAGAGAATTGTTCGTAATCATTTGCATGGATGTACCAAAGCATTTGCAACTTGTTCAAAGAAATGAGAAACTGCTTTTTTGATGTGCACAAGTGACACAATGATGTGAAGATCGAACAGGTATGTTTTGAGAATTTCAATTCTGATCTGAGAAATGTACCAAAGCGACTGAGAAAAACATATCTTTATGCCCAAATAGCTATACAATTGTAATTTTTAACTTAGCTTGAGATGTCACAATGCAAGTAATGACATTAAATGTTCAAAATCTTAAATAAAAATGTGCACTCGCATGCACAGCTAGCCTTGCGTTTTATTGAGCTCACTAAATGTATTCTTCACTATTTGTTACATCATATATGCACAATTGGATCCGGATTCATTTGAAGTAGGCTATAAAACAGGTTGAAATGTGACGGTCAATCCCATGCACTCAGCTAGCCCACGATGCACGTGCACCCCACGGCGATGCTCTCCACCACCGTTCTGTAACGGGGAACGCATGTCTTCTTCTTCGTCGGCTTCTTCGTTGGCCGGTGGCAGAGGAGTCTGCGCACGGGGATCTTGGTGTAGATGAGAGCGCTGGTCATGGTGCGATCCTCCTGCATGGTGAAAGGATTGATGCATCCCACACACGAACACACGGCCTCTGGGATATCCACGGGCTTACGATTCTCATCGTGGTTGATTCTAGCCAAAGACATTAAAGTACTTCTGGTCAATATTTTCTGTAAAAAGTTTTCTAAAATATTTTTAATGTAGGCCTAAAAGTTATACTTAGCCTATGCTAGGCTACTCTTCAAAGTATGGGGTCATTTTGACCCGATTTGAATTGAGTGTGCATCGGAGTGGTTCACCTTTAGGAATCTCTCTCTCTCTCTCTCTCTCTCTCTCTCTCTCTCTCTCTCTCTCTCTCTCTCTCTCTCTCTCTCTCTCACACACACACACACACACACACACACAAAAGGTTATGTGACAGTGGTTGTAATAAAAGGTTGTAATAAAAACAGTATCAAAAGCTTCCCTCGCGGGTCAATTTGCCCCCCTTAAGAGTGCGAGGAATGCTTCAGTATAGGCTACATAGAAAAACCATAGAGAAAAACCTAAACAATGCTCAAAATTAAACCTAAAAAGGCTAAAACTTTACCAAAAATGATTTTGTAATATCTACATGTGTGTATGAATGCATATTGAAGAGATAAACTCGATTGACTTTAGGATTCAGTGGAACAGCTCATTTGCTCCATATAGACTAGACTAGAGCTATAAGGCCATCTAGTGGCTAGAGTTATAAACTATGTTAAATTATTTTCTCCCCAAAAGTCGGCAGAGACACCCGAATTTACCCAATATTGAGATATTTTGAGCTGATTTGAACTGGTTGTTGCATGTATTGGAGAGTTATTTTGAATTTAATTTGAAAGAATTTGAAGAATCTGCTTCAATTATGTATTTATTGATAAAAATCTATCAATTTAAATGTACATAAAATAAAAAATAATATCTTTAAAAAATGCATTAAGAATATAAAAATAAAATATAAAAATGAAATGATACAAGCTTTCTGGACAAACAAAAAGTATAATTCAAGGGCTTCAGGTCATTTTGACCTGGGGGGAAGGATTTATAACATGCAGGATGCGAGGAGAGGACGAATGAAATGTTTTTGATAGAAGTTTCTTATGCCCACCAAAGGCTGCATTCATTTGATCAAAAATACAGTAAAAACAGTTTGCTAATATTGAGAAATATTATTACAATTTAAAATGACTGTTTTCTATATTAATATATTTAAAAAAAAAAAATTTATGATGGCAAAAGCTGCGGTCAACATTTGAAAGAAAATAAAATAAAATTGATTGAAACTGACATTTAAGGCGTTTATAATGTTACAAAATAATTAGATTTCAAATAAATGCTGTTCTTTTGAGCTTTCTATTCATCAATGAGTCCTGAAACACCGAAGACTGTAATGACTGCTAATAATTCAGCTAAATGGGTCGTTTTCATGTCACATGAAAAGGCTTTCTGGATATTCTGCATGAATTGCAGTTTACAAAAACATATTAACATGATACTTTAATGTTACAAGTGTTTGTTTTTTTATTAAACAGGGCTTTGAGGTCTCTCAATCTTCAACCAGAACATAAGAGTTAAATAATAATGATAAATAATAATTATAATAACAATGACCTCCACGTCACCTACCTGTAGGACCAGGGAGAGAGGCTGCGACTATTGGACATCCACAGTTTGCGATCCACCACACATTTGCTTATGGTTAAGTTGGGATTGTTTCTGACCTGGGACACCATATCCTCGATACTCTTATCAAAGTCCGTTTCAACAGCACCAGGCATCACTCCTGATTCTGGACCTGTCATCATTGGATCTGGGGAAATTTTGACAGATGACCCTTTCCGGCGAGGATGTGATTCCAGTTTTCGTCTCCGAGACTTTCCTTCTTTACTGGTGTGCTTTGTGTCAATGGGCACAAACAGATTCCACACCATCAGGACCACGAACACCTGCAATATGGAGTGCTGAGGGTTTCATTTAATTATCATAGTTTTTTAAGTATTAAGATTTATTAAGTAAAGAAATATTTTTAAGTAAAGAAATTAATTTTTTGAGACTCACCTTATTCCATATGTTTTTCCACATTGTTTTCTTAAAGAGCGCAATAAGTTGTCACATTTGTGTCCTTGCTGTGAGCAAGTATTGAATGAAATGAGCAAGGGATTACTCATACTGAAGTGTCACGCCTCACACACTGACACAGTAGCCTACAGGGACACACCTGAAGCCAACAGTTCAAGGTGGGGCCACGCAAAAATACTATTCTATGCCACCCTCTCCAAAACATCCGATATATATATATAGATAGATAGATAGATAGATAGATAGATAGATAGATAGATAGATAGATAGATAGATAGATAGATAGATAGATAGATAAATAGATAGATAGAAAAGATACTATGCTACCCTCTCCAAAACATCAGATAGATAGATAGATAGATAGATAGATAGATAGATAGATAGATAGATAAATAGATAGAAAAGATACTATGCTACCCTCTCCAAAACATCAGATAGATAGATAGATAGATAGATAGATAGATAGATAGATAGATAGATAGATAGATAGATAGATGGATAGATAGACAGACAGACAGACAGACAGACAGATAGATAGATAGATAGATAGATAGATAGATAGATAGATAGATAGATAGATAGATAGATAGATAGATAGATAGATAGATATATGGATAGATAGACAGACAGACAGACAGACAGACAGACAGACAGACAGACAGATAGATAGATAGATAGATAGATAGATAGATAGATAGATAGATACTATGCTACCCTCTCCAAAACATCAGATAGATAGATAGATAGATAGATAGATAGATAGATAGATAGATAGATAGATAGATAGATAGATAGATACTATGCTACCCTCTCCAAAACATCAGATAGATAGATAGATAGATAGAAAGATAGATAGATAGATACTAGCTACCCTCTCCAAAACATCAGATAGATAGATAGATAGATAGATAGATAGACAGATAGATAGATAGATAGATAGATAGATAGATAGATAGATAGATAGATAGATAGATAGATGGATGGATAGACAGACAGACAGACAGACAGACAGACAGACAGATAGATAGATAGATAGATAGATAGATAGATAGATACTATGCTACCCTCTCCAAAACATCAGATAGATAGATAGATAGATAGACAGATAGATAGATAGATAGATAGATAGATAGATAGATAGATAGATAGATAGATAGACAGATAGATAGATAGATAGATAGATAGATAGATAGATAGATAGACAGATAGATAGATAGATAGATAGATAGACAGATAGATAGATAGATAGATAGATAGATAGATAGATAGATAGATAGACAGATAGATAGATAGATAGATAGATAGATAGATAGACAGATAGATAGATAGATAGATAGATAGATAGATAGATAGATAGATACTATGCTACCCTCTCCAAAACATCAGATAGATAGATAGATAGATAGACAGATAGATAGATAGATAGATAGATAGATAGATAGATAGATAGATAGACAGATAGATAGATAGATAGATAGATAGATAGATAGATAGACAGATAGATAGATAGATAGATAGATAGACAGATAGATAGATAGATAGATAGATAGATAGATAGATAGATAGATAGATAGATAGATAGATAGACAGATAGACAGATAGATAGATAGATAGATAGATAGATAGATAGATAGATAGATAGATAGATAGATCCTATCATTAGATAATCAATTAAAAGAGTGTATGATTACAAATTTACAGGTGCATGAGTTTTCAATAGAATTTTGGTCAATTTCACAGAACACTGTAACCTTTGTACCTTTGTTGTTTTCACGTGTGTCTATTCAACCGTGTGCACTCAAAAGACCCTTTTTATTCTTAAGTCCCAGAGTGAACAAACGACCAGACAGAGCTTTATGAGCCTTAGACTCATTCTGGGAACCAAACTACTGCCTAAAGAAACTGTCTGCAGACACAGATTTGGTCAATCCATGTTTTCCCCTGATCTGGCTCATTCAATGCTATATTGATTTTCACAATGGGTTCTATTGAGTGGCGTAAAAGAACACCTGCTCTTGTGACATGTCAGGGCAGTGAAACCTGGAGTTTCAAAGGGAACACTTGTGGCAAACTATGTTTTGCTATTTTTAAGGGCTTGTTGGATAAAAGCCAAAACAAGTGCTTAATATTGTGTTGAATAAAAACTGTTTTCAAATTCACTGACGATTATATCATTCTAATGAAATGAAGTGACTCAGATTTGCCTTCTTTTCTTCTTCTGTATAACCTTTTGACAAAAGAAGTCCCTGGGATAGATTTTTTGTTTAAGTTAAAGCACCTGTGACACTTTACAAGAAATTATGATGTTTTACATTTGGACTATGGCTGTTTATCTATAATAAATACTATGATATAACATACAAATATTGATATTTCTGCTGTTTGCAGATTTTTATCTTGACTTGGTTCTGTGAGGGAATTCAAAAAATTTAAAATATCAGAACGGATTTTGAACGAGTCTGTAAAAATGTGTTACTTTGCTAAGAAAATATGACTAATATTTTATGACTAATAAAAATGACAAGTTAAAAAACTAATAAAAATGACAAGGGGCAAATGTTTATGTGTAAGTGCCTTGGTGCCTGGCAGTTCATTGCATCTGATAAGATTATCTGGCAATTAACTGCTGGAAAGTCCAGTTTAAGTTGTGTTTGTGGAATATGGTATTAGCTGGTTTAGCTGGTAGAGCATCTTGAATCAGCAACATGTAACCAAGCTGTTTTTTTTTGGGACACTGCTGGTCCACCAGCTAACGACAACCTTGGACCAGCTAATATCCAGCTTGAACCAAATAAACCAGCTACCATATTCCAGCTTAAACTGGAGGGCAATTATACTTTTATATGGACATGATGAGCTGAGCTCTGAGAATTTGCACTTTTATTTAGCAAATTATCTTCGAAAATATTTAAGTAAAAGGACTAGTAACTGACTGTTAATTTAAACTATAGCCTATCCATTTTAAGAGTTTTTATTTTATATATATATATATTTTATTTTATTTTATTAATTTTGTAAATCAGATTTATTCAGTAAAAATCGAGTCAACACCTAAGAGATAAACGCGAACACGTCCACTTTTATCTGTAAAGCGCTGTCATCATATTTTATAGGCTACTTTTATATCTGGTGTTTTTTTCTTTCTAATGTAGCCTAGTTTTTTGCTATTCATTTGTCTGTATTGTTTGTGACCCTGCCATAAAAAAAAAACAGGTAGCTACTTTGAAATCCCATTCTGTCCATGATGATCTCGCGAGGTTTGCGCTACAACTAATTCTGACGGAAGTAGTTCTAGAGTCTCTTTTCCGGCGGCCATAGAGACAAGTCGGCAGGGTAAGCCAAGATTGCTAAAGCATTTCTCAAACATCCTTTGCCATCCTCGTGGATTTTATGTCCTCAAAGTTTAAAACACACATTATCGCTACACAATATCAGTATTTTCAATTTATCCGTGATATTTTACACTCGCAGTGCAACATTATAGATGATTTAGCCTCTAAAGTTCAGCCAGTTGCTACTATAGGAGCACTGTACTCCCGTGTGAATAACGTTACCTTAACTTTACCCAAAACACATGGCTATGCTCTCTGTTTATGCGTGTTATAGGCTGTTTTAATCGTGTCGCGTTTAAATACTCGAAGCACAATACAAATATGAAATTTAGGGATTTGTGCGTGTATGCTTAGCGTCATGTCAAGCTGAAATAACAGTATAGCAATAGCATGAGCTGTTGAAATACACCGTGTGTTATCAAGACATGAATTCGCAAGCTTCGAGTGCATTGTTTTGTGTTAGAATTTCTGATTTGTTCAGAGAGTTGAACTGAATTGAACAAACCCAAATTAGTGACAGACATGCTTGACAGTCAGTTTAATTCTTAAACAAATGCTGTTTATCTTAATATCTGTCTTGAATGTGGCTTATTTGTCACATAAATTGTATAAGTTTACATTTATTCATTTAGTAGACGCCATTTATAATTGAAGTTGAATTTGAATTGTCCTCTTCCATTTCCAGCCATCATGAAGCTCAATAAATTTGTGACATCCTCCCGGCGCAAGAACCGCAAGAGGCACTTCAATGCCCCTTCACACATCCGCAGGAAGATCATGTCCTCCCCTCTGTCCAAAGAGCTTCGCCAGAAGTACAACGTAAGATCCATGCCCATCCGCAAGGACGATGAGGTCCAGGTGAGGACGTCGTTCGTTTTTTCTGCCTGATATATAAATGCAGTCTCATGTATTGGAATGTCATTTAGTTTCTAAGTATGTTACTGTAACGTTCCTTGCTTTCTTTCCCCTCATCACCAGGTTGTCCGGGGACACTACAAAGGCCAGCAGATTGGCAAAGTTGTCCAGGTTTACAGAAAGAAGTACGTCATTTACATCGAGCGTGTGCAGCGTGAGAAGGCCAACGGCACCACAGTCCATGTTGGCATCCACCCCAGCAAGGTGTGTATTATATCCAGATAATTGTTTACATGCAAGACAAGAGTGTCATTGGAAAAAAGAACTAGTGGTAGAACATCCAAAGGGCAGGATGGCAGATATATTCTAAATTAGTGTTTGCTGCTACGACCTACATCTACTGACTAGCCAATAAAAATACAACACAAAATGTCGTATTGATCAGTGCGACATGACGCTAAAACTTTACTCGCCTCAAGTTCCAAAACTGGCATGCCAAGTTTGCCTCTTTTCCATAGCCACGACCGTGTCCATATTCACCTGTTTTTTCAGCACACTTAAACTACAATTGCTGAAGTGCGATTCATCTTGCTCTATTTGTTTACCACTAGCACATGCCGGTGACATTTTATTCTTCTATACTAACTTAGGTCGTAGCCTAGGATTCAAAGGGTTTCATATTCGTACAGTCTACATGCATGTCGTGCTCAAGTTTATTTATTGCCCGAATTTATTCATGCCGTACAGTGTAATGATCTAATAGGATTGTAGCAGGCATTAGGCAAGCGAGTGTCATACAATAGTCTGGCAAAAATTTGCCAAAATGGTCCATTGTCAGTGTTGGGATGCCTGAACCGCTGCTCATACAAAAGTCACTTTCAAGCCAAACAGCTTTCTATCGGACAACGTGGCGATTTGACATGACCAACTTGAAAATGAGCAATCTGTGGGCTTTTTTTTTTTTTTTTTTTTTATTTCAATTGAAATGACTGAATTTCATCAAGCAAATGTAAATTTGACCACATTTATGCAATTGGGCAATCTGGTTATCAGCCAATGCCACAAATCTATAAAAATATTGAATCTAAGATATATTTATATCATCAATTATAACTGTGCATTTGATACATGTCGTTAGTGATAAAACAAATAAATACTTGGCAAAAATTTGCAGTACACATACCCCATTACTAATCTGCATTATATAAACAGCATGCAAAAATGTGTTCAGCCATTTAACAATCACAGATGAGGTGTGGAACTAGTTTTATTGCATCAAAACAAGCTGTGTTCTGGTGAATTTGAGTAACAATTGTCACTCATAAATTGACTACACATTTCTGACATTTGTCCAGTATTAATGAACAGACACTGACTTGAATATTACTTCATTTCCTAGAGCTACTGTCTGATGTTTTAACAAGTGCTCTGTTAGACATTTCAATGTCCAAATTATGCATCTCATCAGGGGTTACTCGTTTATGAGAAATGAAGCATCTGATCGTTCCGCTTGAGTTGTCACCAATCTGCCAATGCATAAGCTTACAGAATCGCATTTCATTTACTTGTAGTAGAATTAGTTACTTAAAGGGTAACTGCTGATTTTCAACTAGCTTTGTATTGTTACAATGCAAGTAATGTATCTAATAAACATTGTGTACTCTTCCTGTTTAATTCCACATTTGATTCTTATCAAAAGTTCTTTTGACTGCTCTAGGGCTTTTGTAAAAACTACAGATCATACTTTTGCATTTTTGTATCCCCGCTCACTCATAGATAGTCGTATCATGTCCAGTGCATTATGGTTGTTGCATTTTTCCTACCTTTTTGGAAAAATATGCCACGTCACTTTTTCTGATAGTCAAGTAGCACTGCATTTGGGGAAGGAAAAAAAGCTATTCTACAGCATAGACAGTCAAGTTTTAATAAAAGCCCACCTTGAGGACAACAATTAAATGCTGTTTTTTTTGTGTGTCAAAACTGACATATGCATTAATTTATGATCAATTGGTTAAATTTTGGATATTTCGTGCTGTTTTATGTTGATGGAAATGTTCACAAAATGAATCAATCTTTTTGTTCTTCAGGTGGTGATCACCAGGCTAAAGCTTGACAAGGATCGCAAGAAGATTCTTGAGCGCAAGGCCAAGTCCCGACAGGACAATAAGGAGAAGGGCAAATACAAGGAGGAAACCATCGAGAAAATGCAGGAGTGAAATGATTTTTTTGCTAACAATAAAAGACTGTAAAACCTGACATTCTGTGCTTTTCTTTTATATAAAAGTGTTGGGTTCGGTATAAATTGAACTTGAAGTGAAAGAATTTGGATTTAAGCTCAACCTAGTGTTTTCATTTAAAAATAACAACAGAAAATCACAGTTTGAGCAATAGCTGGTTTCTTAACAAAAATGAGACGAAAGTAGGGAAACTTTTAAACTGCTTCACAGATAGGCAAGACACAGGGAACTACTTATACTTCCTGTTTGACCACTTGTTTAACTGATGGGTTTGGTCACTGTCTTTTTGTCATGGCGAGCAGAAGCTGTATAATATATAGTAAATGGGTTCCCATTGCTGTTTATATGGAAATATATGGGAATTTTAAAATGTTAATTTCCAGGCATTAAATTGTCTTGGAAGTCTTTATAGTAACTATTTGGGTAGAATCAATTTTGTTTTAATTTTTCCACTAAAATGTTTGAACTATTTTGTTGTTTTTATTAAGTTCAGTTTTAATTATTTTAGTGCAAGTAAAACTATATGAAATTGAGTATTGTTGCATTGGCAACTAGCTGAAAGTTATATATTTTACTTCAGTTAACGTTAATTTATTTCAAGTAACGAAATGTTTTTAAAGTTTTAGTTAAGTATAATAAGCCTGTTTCACAGAGCTGCACTAATTTGTTTTAACAATGCAAGAAGTCAGCGGATGACATTTTAAATAATTCATACCGGTTAAAGGTTGAGTGTAGTGTGACGAGTTAATTAAACATATGCACGGCACATACCCTACAAAATGCACATTGTGTATCACCAAAACATCTGTAGTATGATAGTATCAAAAGAAGGATGTATATATTTAGTGTGATCCGAGTGCAGAGGAAGAGGTGAGACATCAGTCATATGTCTGTTCCCTTCAGGGCCCGACGAGTCACATGACCATCGACGTCCACACAGCAGTGGAGTGCGCGAGCGCTGTGGAGTCTACGAAGTTTATTTTATAGAAAATAAGTCAATAAACTCGACCTAAAAAGAAATATAATGGCGGCTACATCGTTTGCGATAGCAGTGTCAGTTATGACCGTGTTTTGGGGTCTTATTGGTGGAGTTATTCCCTGGTTTATTCCTAAAGGACCGAATCGAGGGTGAGCAACATTAGCATTAACGTTACCTAAACCGAAAGTTTTCTGTACTACATCATCTGTATTAACCTCTATCTATTTAGCGATATATTTGAAATGTTAAAAACCTGGCAAACTAAAAAAAATTTTCGTAAACAATACAGTTGATCATTATTCGTTTTTACTTTACGAAACCCAAGTGAGCGTCAGAATAAAATAAAGTTTGTGATTTGACTTGCATGGCTGTAGGAAATACATTCAATTCAAATAATGTATTTAGTACATATGAACATTCAATATGTTGAGAAATATTTTAGTTTTTTAACGTGAAGATATGTATGACTGGATCATGTGACCGTGCCAAGTGACGAGGCTGATATAAAGAAAAAAAAACTATTTTACACATTTAAGTTTATTCACAGTATTTTTAATAAGTGTTTAATATCTGTATTTTGCTCTTTAGAGTCATTGTGACGATGCTGGTACTAACTGCAGTCTGTTGCTACCTTTTGTAAGTACATTGCCTTCAAATTGTCTTTGTTATAACTTACATGTCTAGAGAGACTTGAGAATAGCTGCTGTTTAATGTAATAAAATAAAGATTGTTCTGTTCCGTTTCAGTTGAAAGTCAATTACAGCCTTCGGGCAACGCCAGTATTGATTAGAAAAGAACTACAACACATCCAGGCCAATGTGCAGTTTCCTCCAGTTTAATATAATAAACTTACAAATAAGTGTAAATAGTATTTTACAAATGTATGATGTATTAAATAAGCTTATACACTCGGCACTGTGCATGTTTAATGTGAATTATTTATTATTTTGAAGAAATATGATAGTGTTTGTTATCTAACAGCCACTAGGGGGCAGTGCATACTACTTTTTTGCTGCCACACATTTGTTCCTAAATCCAGTCTCTCTTGGCAGTATTTTCATATGACTGCCATATTGTTCACTTTGTACTTTTGGTTTAATTTCAGCTGGCTGATTGCTATTCTATCACAGCTGAATCCGTTGTTTGGACCAGTACTGAGCAACGATACCATCTGGTACCTCTACTACCACTGGGGGTAGGGTCCAATGGTTCTTTTACAAAGCAGGTTAGCAATCATCCTGAAAATGCACTTACATCTTTTATTTTGTAAATCAATAAACCCTCAGTTCCAGTCATTTTGGCCCAGAGAGGTTTTTCTTTTTCACCTAAAATGCTAGACTAAAACTTACTGACTTTGTTCACACGGGGTATAAAAAGTTCCTATTTTTATTTTTGTGTGTGGTAATTTCTGTAAACCCCCTTGTTATACTCAAAAATGACCGGCCTACTGCTTATAAATCTCTCATTATGCTTTTATTGCCAGATGTGGAATTCAATCTTTTAATCAACTTGTTTTCTTTCAGTTAGGACAGGTTAAATAGTTTGCCGTTTAACCATTTGCAGATGTCGGAAGCTTGTACATTGCCAAAACGGAGACATCTCACCATCAGGAAAACTCCTTGTGATTTGAAGCTTTACATGCTGTTCTCTTACTCAAAGAATGACTACCATATGACTGTTTGTGGTGTTTCTTTTTTATTTATTTGATCTAATGTTCAAGGAAATAATATGCAATTAAATCTTATGTTTGTTTTTTTTGTCTCTGTGTACATATACATCGACTGTCTGTGTATAGTTTGAGTTGAATGACCCGATTACTGTTGGACAAATTAACCCGTCCCATTTATATATGTATGATTTTTGAATGTCAAATAAAATTAAGAATGCAGAAAAATTGAAGATTTGCATTGCGTCCAGTTTTAAAAGCAATACTGAATTGGTACAACAGTTTCAAGTTATTAAAAAAGCATGATTAGATTTCTTAAAAATCACACAGTTAAAGGCCATCTGAGATGATTTTCAACTCATCGAGTTTGTCATAGTGTATCTTTGGGGATTCTGGGTCGTGACATTGTGCATTCGCACTCCTCTCGACGAGGAAGCCCATCAGAGGAGACGTCACTGTGGTTTTGCTCTTTGGCTTGGCATACAGGACAGCAGGCCGTCAGCCCTCTCTCTCTACAGGTGGCACACGACAGCACCAGCTGACAGCAGAAGTCTGTGGAGCAAAGCTGATATCGATCCCACGGGCAACTGCAATATCTGCACTCTGGGGAAAGGAGAAGTAAACGTTAAGTTTGTCACTAGATATATAACGTTTTTTTTTTAAAGTACACACCTGAGATGATGTCCTCATTGAATGCGATGGCATAACGTTCATCAAACACAAAGAGTTTACCGCGGTAGAAGCCGTCGGGGAACTGCTCAAGGTATTTGTGAATGCCTCCCTTCAGCTGGTAAACCTCCTTGCATATGTTCTAAAGAAATAACATTCATGATTGAGGATGCCATTACAGGGATGTGCATGTTTAGTCTTTTTTCCCCCCGCATTCAGACTCACTTTTGATCTGAGATAGGCCGAGCCCCGTTCACAGCGGATGCCCCCTGTACAGTACATCAGAACCTTTTTGTCCCGAAAGAGATCCAAATTCTTTTCCACGTAGTCTGGGAAGTAGCTGAATTTCCGGATGTCGGGGGCCAAACACTGATCGAACTGACCCTGAGAACAGACTGAACTGTTAAATGTAACGTGGACAAAGTTCTGATATTATTGACTTTTAAACTACTTACAATTTTGCTCTCATAGAAGTTTCTGCAGTCCAGCAGGATCGTATCACTAATGGAGGACTGATTCTCCACAAACGCCTTCACTTCTTTGTGAAATTCCTCTGGTTCCAAGTGTATTCCTTTGTGAAGTACAACATTTGCATAAATACAAGAGAGGAGTACACGCTACCGTTCAAAAGTCAGCACGATTTTTTCATATTTTTGAAAGTAGTATTTTTTGCTCAGCAAGGCTGCATTTATTTGATTAGAAATACAGTAAACGGTAATATTGTTAAAATGTAATTTATTCCTGTGATGCAAAGCTGAATTTTCAGCATCATTACTCATTACTTAGTGTCACATGATCTTTCAGAAATCATTATAATATGCTGATTTGATTCTCAAGAAACATTTCTTGTTATCATCAATATTAAAAACAGCAGTGCTTTTTAATATTTTTGTAGAAACCTTGATAATTGTTTCACGATTTTTTGATGAATAGACAGAGTTCAAAACAGCATTTCCTTAAAATAGAAATCTTTTGTAACATTATAAATGTCTCAACTGTCACTTTTGATCAATTTCATGCATTCTTGCTGAATAAAAGTATTAATTAATTTCTTTAAAAAAAAAATCTTACTGACTCCAAACTTATGAATGGCAGAATAAATACAACAGAATTACAGATTTATGCATATTTTTAAGAAAGACACATTGAATACACAACTGTTCTATGTATCAAGCCAGTTGTAAGTCTTACCAGCCAATCTGTAGGAGATGATATCGGGATCTACACCCATAGGGACAATTTCTTTGTAAACACCAACCTTCAGATCAGAAAAACACTCTGCACCTCCTACACTTTTCTGCCGGAAAAGTCAATGATGTGCATAGGTGATTTTAGATGCTTTTTAGACACTTCAGATCTCATCCCAGCCCACTTAAAATCGAAAATAATTAACAGTTCCCTTTACTAGAGGTCCTAATAAAATTTAAAGTTTGTTCAACTAAGTATATCATGCTCTATATCCTCTATTGAATGAAATAAAGAGCAAACAAATATGTCACCATTATATATCTAGTGAAAAACAGATACAACTTTAAAAGGAGTTTTAAAAGTTAAGCTGGTTTGAACCTCTTGAGCAAGACATTATTCTAAACCACATTATCTTATAATGGAAACCCCACAATCTCAGATTATGAGCATTGTTTAGATTCAGTTTGTCTCTTTTGTGCACCTTATCACTGTTATTCTGGACAGTGGCAATTGCTTTACCTTGAAATCCTGTACTTGCATTATTTTGAAAGATGGATGTGACAGCATTGCCTTGACGTAAAGATTAGTGGCGGTTTTGGTTCCACCAACTGTACCATTGATACCCTCTGTAGCTACTCGTACCTGTGGAAGAACAATCTCAATCACTTAAATGAGACACACATGTTGCAATAAAGCTATTGTATGGATTTTATAAGTGACTCGTGGTTATTTACCTTGCCTGTCATGTGAAATTTTGAACAAAGCTCTTTCTGCCACTGACAAATCATCTGAGGATCATTTAAACGGCAGTAGCAGTAATACAGCAGAACTTCACCTGGACCCCTATAGAACAGATGAACTCCATTAAAACCATCAATCTTCACATAAGCAGAGCAGAATATATCAGGATTATGCAATGCACCTACTTGATAAGGTCATCCTCTTGAACATGGCTTGTATCAGGGATCCAGGATGAGACATCTGTTGATTCGTCATTAATGGACTCTTCCATCGAGTCCTCGCTGTGAGCCTGCCGAAGCATCACGTCCAGCGTCTCAGTGGTCTGCTGGTGAATCTCTCTGGCATGGCTGTTGGAAACATGTTTGTGGATTGATGTTGGCTCTTTGAATGACTGTCCACAACAGAGCCAAAGAGCTGGTGAGGTGTTTTCGCAGGTTGGAGGAAATTTCTTGGAAGCCACAAATGCTGCAAACGTCTAAACACAATGGAGGAAAAAAGCACCGATAATAAAGGGATAGTTCACCCAAAAATGAAAATTCTGTCATCATTTACTCACCCTCAAGTTGTTTCAAACCTGTATGAATTTCTTTATTCTTCTGAACACAAATGAAGACATTTTGAAGAACATGGAAAATTAAACAGTTGATGGGCCCAAGTGACTTTCATAGTATGAAAAAAAAAACTATGGAAATCGACGGGGTCCATCAACTTTTTGGTTACCGACATGTTTCAAAATATCTTCTTTTGTGTTCAGAAGAAGAAATAAATCTTTGTTTGGAACAACTTGAGGGTGAGTAAATGATGACAGAATTTGAATTTTTGGGTGAACTATCCCTTTAAACACAGCAATCGTCATAATATCAGTTATAAAAGTATAACTTTAAATGATCACTACACTCACCCTTTTCTTGACATAAGAGTACAGTTTCCTTGTTGATGAAAAGTCAGGTTTGTCTTCTTTATGGACTTCTGGAGCAAAACTCTCAACATCCAAATCAACAAGCACATTTGCCATTATAATTGTGATATTAATTTGTCGTCCAATGATTGTTTATATGAAAAAATCACCCATTAACATTTACTGTCCTGTTATTTTTAAAAACATAACGTCATGCTAAAATGTCTCATATAACGCATTTTCAACCTCTTTTCGTGCTATTTATGTCGTTAGCCCTTGACCGATTGTAAATACTACTGACAGGTTAATAAAACTGAACACACAAGAAAACTAAACGTGCATTCATGTCTGTGAGGAGAAGATGAGTCGCAACAGCCGGTTTCCGATTCTTGAACGAATCGTTCTTTTGAGTCGGATCTTTTAATGGAATCATTTATTTTGTTCATTTGTTCATGTTTATCTCTTGATTATATGCCAGCTTGATCAACCCCCACATTCTAATTGATTTCGCATTTATTTTAAAAAGAAATACATCAAATAATAATAATATTTTTTATTGTGAATGCAAATGATCTATTTAGGTTCTAAATTAGTCTTTATCAGATAAATATAGCTACAACCAACTGAATTGGGAATCATGAAATGACTCCATTTAATATCTCTTATTAAAAACAAATTTAAAGCATGTTTTTTTACTCTTCAATAACAAGTAACGTTATAAACTTTTTTTTAGTGTATGGAAACGAACTGCTCGAAGGAACCGACTTGAGAAAATGAATCGGACTTCTTATCACGAGTCGCAACAATACATGTGTTTCCGGTGACGCAGCTGCTATGCCGGATGTGTTTTCCTTAAATCAAACCGCTTTTATTTTCCTAGTGTGGCTAACGGCTGATATCATTCAAAGCTACAGGCTGTACTAAACGTAAATCAGTGGATATAGAACATTTTGAAAAAAGTGTATTCTTTGTGTTTCTTTCATACTCTTTCAACAGTCTTAATATTAAACTTGAGAAATGTCCAGGCGAAGGCACAGCGATGAGGGTGATGGTGAGTGGTTAGCGTGTTAGCATGCACGTTGACAGAGATGTGTGTGTTTATGCAAATTTCATATTGTGTTTTTTTGTTTACTGTTATGAATCCGAATACAATACTTGCTCACTATAATATGGCAGCCGAAGGATGTAGTGTTTGGCGTCTGTAGTCTGTTTATTTGCATTAAGTACATTTGCATTTTGAAAAAGCCAAAAGTAACCAATTAAATGTTACTTTTTAAGCAGATAGGAAGCTTTCAGATAAACAAACCTGCTCTTTGAACTTGTTTATAATAATACGCAAATCTCCTTTAAAACATAATGACTACTAGTATTGGATCTATTAGGATTGGTTCTGTATTCCGTTATTCCAGCACATCCATCCAGTACTTTTTTTGCTCCTTATACTTTGTGCTTTTCAATACCATGTCATTGCACTTTATATTACTTTTATTTAGCATTAAATGTTTATATTTTACCCTACAGCCTCATTGCAATATGGCATCCCTAAACCTTTACTATAAAATCCAGTAATGACAGAAAATAATTAATTGATTATTCTAGTTTTTTAATATTACAATATCATTTATAAATATAATTTATCCATGCATGTCATTATTATTATTATTATTTTTTAATTCATGTGGCCTCATAATCTTTAATCAAAATAACTTCTCTTCTCTGATGACGCGTGAGGGCGGGGCAACCTGTCACTCACATGACATCACAGCAATAGTAAATCACAAACATTCAATCAATTCCCCATGGATGACAATTTTCTGGTTTGAGAAGCCGTTTAACTAGCATATACGTCACAATAGGGAAGAAAAAACTATCACAACTTTTCCAGTCATTTATTGACCGAAATATCAACCAACCAATAATAATCAATCGCACAATAGGTGGCTCTTTTTAGATATCTACATTGGCTGTTAACAGTGTTCGCTTTGTTGAATGAAAATAAATGATAGTTCTAAGTTAATTACATAATCTAAATCCTTGTTGGAGGATAATATAATTTTTTTTGATAGAAGTCACTTTTATAAATAAATACCTAAAATATGTTCATGTTCTTAACGTTTCCATTCCAGCCGGCGCCCAGCCTCACAAACGGAGGAGGACGTCTGAACCCATTGAGATTGAAGACCGCCTGGAGTCACTGATATGTCGTGTGGGAGAGAAGGTATCAACTCACATGCAGAAGTGCTGTTTAAATTACATTAATTACTATTTACAAAAGACAACTGATTAATATATTTTTTTCTGTGTATGTTTCCAGAGTACGTCCTCCTTAGAAAGCAATTTGGAGGGTCTTGCTGGTGTCTTGGAGGCGGATCTCCCTAATTATAAAAGCAAAATCCTGCGCATCCTATGTGCTGTGTAAGCGACTTACTCTTTAAATATGCAGTTTAGTTCCCTTTTGCTTGAAAAGTGAATCTCACAATGCAGTGGATGTTGTATAACACAATTTGTTTGTTTTGCGTAGTGCAAGGCTTTTGCCGGAGAAGTTGACGGTTTACACGACACTGGTTGGACTTCTCAATGCTCGCAATTACAACTTCGGAGGAGAGTTTGTGGAGGCCATGATCCGACAACTCAAGGAGACACTAAAATCAAACCTTTACACTGAGGCTCTTTACTTGGTATGAGGTGTTTAGCATTTAAATATATATATATATATATAAGAAATCATAGCTTTTGTTGGTGTTTAATTTCCCATGTGCTCTGCAGGTGCGCTTTCTCAGTGATCTGGTGAACTGTCACGTCATTGCAGCTCCCTCCATGGTTGCAATGTTTGAGAACTTTGTCAGTGTCACACAGGAAGAAGACATACCACAGGTAAATGTGACCTCCAGCTGCCTTGCAGATCATGTTCATAGATGAGGCTAACAGATGTGTCCTTACAGGTGCGATCTGACTGGTATGTGTACGTAGTGCTGTCCAGTCTGCCTTGGGTTGGCAAGGAGCTGTACGAGAAGAAGGATGTGGAAATGGATCGCTTGTTTAACCAAATCGAGGGATATTTAAAGTAGGTTCCTCTTTCAGCTGTATCATTTCTCCCATTTGACATGTATTAACGGTATACGGAAATGCATGAAAAGATGGCATCATTGGCATGGGATGTAATATTCATGGAGAAAAAATGTAGAACTTCAGGATTTGATGTTAGGCTATGATATCAACCCTGTAAAGCCTGACATATGAAATACTTTTTTTTTTTTATAGAAGTTTTTTTTATAGACAAAAAAAAAATATATATATATATATAAGAAGAATGTGTCGCTCATAGTCGGAAGAAAAAACTTTTCTGATTAGCTTTTAATGCAAAACAATAGGATCTTCATAACAGTGTAGCAGACTATTTGCATAAAAAGCATATAAAATATCAGTAGTCACAATGTGTCATATTAATAAGATATTTAAATGCTTAGTTTTATGATCAAAGCTCTGTAGGTTTTATTGTGGGGGCAAACAATAATGCAAAGCAATGTAATAATGATTGAGAGATTGTTACAAAGAAATGTTCCTCAACAGCCTGATGGATCATATTTGATAGCCATGTTTTAACATGATGTTTATAATAATTATGTATGGATAATCAAGCAAACCTAAGTTGTTTTAGCCCAGTAAGTATTCAAATGTTAATAACAATATAAGTTATTCTTATGTTTTCTTTATAAAAATAAACATTTTCTTAAGATTTCTTAACAAAAAGACATGTTTTGCTTCCTAAAACATCTGTAAACTATCAATCAGACGAACGAAGTCATGTATCAGATTGCAGGTTTTGATCATGTTGATAATTTAGAAGCCTTAGAAATGTGCCTATCAAATATGAAACAGTAGGCTTTATAGGGTTAAAAACATAAGCAAGTTTCTTTGTCTCTTTGTAATGTGCACTGATGGAAAAGGTGGGAGTTTTGATCGGTAACTCCCTTGTTCGGTAGCTTAAAGCTGCAGTCCGTAACTTTTTTTCCAAACCGTGTCTTTGTCTTATGCTGAATCACTACGGTACACAATAAGTGTATAATAAGTGTTTACATTCAGACTATTTTAGACTGGTTCGGGTCGTACCGCTGCAGAGTATCCCAGTACCTGCGTGACTCGTCATAGACATAAACAGAGGGAAGTAGCTCAGGGTATAATGTTCTTTCGCAAGACTCATGCAGTTCTGTTAAACGCCAAAAGTTACGGACTGCAGCTTTTAAATAATTTTGTCAATTATTATGAGGTTTGACAGCTAAAATGTGGTTATCCTGGTGGAGTACAAAGGAGTCTTCTGTGAAATGTCATGGTCTGGGTTTTGCTACAGGCGGCGTCAGAAGATTCATGTTCCCATGCTGCAGGTGTGGACTGCAGAAAAGCCCCACCCACAGGAAGAGGTGAGAGTCAGACCACTGGCTTCATCCCCCACTTTAACTATAAGCACTAACAAAATGCCAGTCGCAGTTGTTCTTAACTGGTTTTACTTTAGGACATTGGACAGAAAGTGGCGACACAACACAATAGAAACTAATAACCTGTATTTAATGTAGTCTGAGTTGTATTTTGTTTTGTTCATGTATTTTGAGGATGGGGACATCCTGCAACCAGTTCATGTTGGCTTCTGTCTAATTTGACTAGATTCTACAAATGAATTTGCACCGTAAAGTTTGATTAAAAGCTTTGACAAAAAAGCTTGATTAAAAACCTTTGACATCAACAAACAAAATATATTGAAAGCGCTTTCTCTTCCCTTTTAAAGGGGTCATGAACTGGCTTTTTAAAAAATGTTATATTGTTGTCTGAGGTCAACTTATGACGTTCGCTTGGTTTTTACATTCAAAAACATCAAAATGAATAAGTAATAGGCTATTTTCTACCCTAGTTTTGAGCCTAGCTCAGTTTTTATGGGCGTCTCGCATTAAAGACTTGGAAGTAAACGCCCACTGCTGTGAGTGGATAACAGTTTTGCTTATTACGAGTTTCGTGTAATGCGCAAATCGGTGGGCGGGGCTAAACCGGCCGTGTTGAAGTAGGCGTTGATCTTCTTCTGCTGAGCCTGGTGTCAATAAAAGCTTTCATTGGACTAACAAGGACGTTTTCAGTTCTGAAACTTACAGGATATTCTTATAATATGATGACCTCTTAGATGTCAAAAGCTCAAGGAAAATTTGATTTCTCAGTTCATCAACACCCTTTAACAGTTAATAAGCGAAATTATTTAGCTTCTTGTCAGTGGACCTTTCAGAACAGACCAGCAACTCACAAATTGTGAACCGATGCTCTATCTTTTTACTTAAATGAATGTCCTTTACGTCTTTCTCTGTAGTATTTGGACTGTCTCTGGGCCCAGGTGCAGAAGCTGAAGAAGGACCGCTGGCAGGAGCGTCACATCCTGCGGCCTTATATTGCATTTGACAGTGTGCTGTGTGAAGCCCTGCAGCACAACCTGCCCCCTTTCACACCTCCAGCCCACTCCGACGACGCTGTCTACCCCATGCCTCACGTTGTCTTCCGCATGTTTGACTACACTGATGCCCCAGAGGTATAGTAATGATTTTACATTCAGTTATAATGGAACATCAAATGAAAAAGGGCCTTATACCTTAAAAACACGAAACTGCTCAATTAACTTCCATAATATGATGTATTAACAAGTGAAACAAAAGTTCAGGAGAAATTTCTGGGATTGTTAGGCTATGATGTTATTGGTTAATATTATTTTAGGTTTCTAGGAATTGAGATGTAAAACGTTTTTGAAAGAAATCTATTATGCTCACCAAGGCTGCATTTATTTGATAAAAAAAAGTAATATTTTTATTTAATTTTATTTGAAATATTAATGTTTTAAATAACCTTTTTTCTATTGGAATATATTTTAAAATGTAATGGCAACAGAGAATTTTCGTCAGTGTCACATGATCTTTCAGAAATCATTCTAATATGCTGATTTGGTGCACAAGAAACATTTGTTACAAACAGTTGTGCTGCTTATTATTTTTGTGAAAACCATGATGCATTGTTTTTTGTTTAGTTCTTTGATAAATCGGAAGTTCACTAGAACAACATTGATTTGAAATAGAAATCCTTTGTTTTGCTGATCAATTTAATTGTCCTTGCTGAATAAAAGTAATTTCTTTCAAATATAAATCTTACTTACCCCAAACTTTTTAAACAGTAATGTATAAACAGTTATATTATTATTATTATTTAAATTTATTTTAAGTTTATACTTCATGCATGTTCTTGTTGATGCTGTTGTCTTTAGTCGTATGTGTAAGTGTTATAATGTCTGTCTATCTGTTGTCAGGGGCCAGTGATGCCAGGAAGTCATTCAGTCGAGCGCTTTGTGATTGAGGAGAACCTGCACTGCATCATCAAGTCTCACTGGAGGGAGAGGAAGACCTGGTCAGTCATCTGCATTTGCTGATAGCATTAGAGTTTAAAGGCCTACTGGGCTGATATTGTTTCTTTGAAACCTAGTCTACTAGGGCTGGGCAAAAAAAAAAAAGATTTTTCGATTAATCGTTTTTTAAAATGTGGTCGATTCAAAATCAATTCTCAACGGCCACGAATCGATTTTTTCCATATTCAGGGCTCGCTGTGCTGCGTCTTCTCACTCTGCACAAGGCAAGCGTCAAGCGCTGCAGGCGTCGATACACACCAGAGACTATTTATATACACACTCGTGTTTAGGAGTCGGGACATGATTTACTTGCACAATCGGGCCAGCATTGCATCGTAACTAACGTTTATCATTTTCACGTCTTTTTAAATTTTTTATCAGTTTAAACATTCAAGCAATTTTAAACTATCCTGTGCTTGCGCACTCGCGCATGTTTTTCATTGTGGCACATACAGTAAAGCCTAAATCCGCCTCACAAACAGCTCGCCAGTAACAAAAGTTCTTTTTCGTGGATTATATCGCTTTAACAGTTAAAAACACGCAAAATGATGTCAAAACTCTGGTCTTGGTGAGTAACCTCGTAAAGACAGTCGGTTATGTCTTAAATAAGCATAAAACGCGTGTGACAGACAGTATAATGAAACGGTAATGGATCCGTGCACTAGTTCTTAAAGTGAACGCAGCCTTATGTGTCTGTCATTAATTTTGTTGTCAAAACAACATAATATAGCATCAATTGTAAGGAATCAGAATTAATAGCCTATGTATTTAATTCAGTCAGGACTAAAAGACTATCCAGTGTTATTTTACATTGGATTACTTTATTCAGTTTCTGTAGTATTTCTGACCTACCCAAAAACTTTTCTTTTTATGTCTCTTTATTTGTGTCTTTAGGCCTATTCTATTGTATTTATTTGTGCTACTTTTTTCAATTTAATTCAAAGATTGAAATCAAGCTTCCATGTGTTGCATAAACTCTTAACAAAAAAATTACCCCATTGTTAAAACAAACATTTAGGTGAGATCAATGTAATAGAAAATTGTCTAAAAAATGATAACTGATATTTAGACTGAGATTTGTATTACATCTATATTCATTATAGTCGAATCGAGAATCGAAATCGAATCGAACTGTGAGCTTGTGAATCGAAATCGAATCGAATTTGAACATCTGAATCGATACCCAGCCCTATAGTCTACATACTTGGCCTTTAACTGTTTTCTCTCTCTCTTTTTCTTTTCCTTTAACAGTGCTGCCCAATTGCTCAGCTACCCTGGAAAAAACAAGATACCCCTTAACTACCATATTGTGGAGGTAAATAGCAATGTGATGCTGATCATTTTTATTTGATAATGTGTCAAAATATTTGTCTTGGATTTGTTGTTTTGGTGTAATGCTGTATCTGTATCTCTCTGTAGGTGATATTTGGCGAGTTATTCCAGCTGCCTACTCCTCCTCACATTGATGTCATGTACACTGCGTTACTCATTGAGCTCTGCAAACTACAACCGGGCTCTTTACCACAAGTCGTATCCTTCATACTGACTGAAAGTCATGTGAATTTGTTATTAATTGATTCCTCCTACATATTGCACCTCAGCTCTGGCATGTTTTAGACTTGTGTAAACATGGGATGAGTGTCCCCTGCTCTTGTAGTTTTCTTTAACCTGCCGTTATTCAGCTCGCTCAAGCCACAGAAATGATGTACATGAGGCTGGACACAATGAACACAACCTGTATAGACCGGTGGGTCCGAATATGAGGTTAAATAGATGGCTAAACCACTCACATTTGTTGACTACAGTGGTTTAAATAATATATCTCAATAAATCTAGGCAATTGAAGTTATCCAAGTGTAAAACTATGATGACAGAGTTTGAATATAATCCTCATAAAAAAAAAATGATTTGAGCAACATTCAGGGGGCTATCATACGGGCACGTTTGCTGCTATCTGAGTTGTTTCTGGCGCCCCCTGCAGTGTTGGTCTGGTTTCACACTCACTTGATTCTGTCGAATTCTTGCGTCATCACAAATGTGCATGGCGCTTGGCGCATGATAGAAAACAGAACATGGGTCAATGTATTGCGTTTTTTTTTTTTTTTTTTTTTAAAGAAATTAGTCGTATGCGCACTGCAGAGTGAACGACACTTGCATCTACTGTATGTGCGTTGCATGAAGGCGGCTTTCTACTGCTTGCAAACGGACTCTTTTGAGGAGACCGCTGATTGCGAACCATTCATTTGCTCCTCCGATTGGACTCATTCTGCACAATTACACTGTAGCACACTCTTGCTTGTATCCAAGGTAAATTATCTGTCATCCCTTTCATACTGGCATGCGCAGGTTACGTTACTTCCTGAACAAGTGCGCACTTGAGTCCACTCCCAGTTTCTTTCACATTTACATGAATCGTGTCTCAGTTCCGTTGCAACTGAACTCAGACCACTTCTTACAGGTAGTCTCTTGTTCGGTACCTCGGTGCGCTCCCAGGTCCGCATAACAGCTTTTACATTATCAATTTTTCATGTGAACCTTGCCCCGTTTCAAACTAAACTGCCAGTGTGAAAGCACCCTCAGATTGACTTTAAAGAGGCCTGAGAAACTTATTCTGTTTTTCAGACTCATCAACTGGTTCTCGCATCATTTAAGTAACTTCCAGTTCAGATGGAGCTGGGATGACTGGTGAGGATGAGCTGTTTACTTCTGGGATCATATTGATCTGATTCTCTTATATTTGTACAAGCTGTGCATTGTCTCTGTGTATAAGACACTGTATTGAAGCATTGAACTATGATCTCTTCAGGGCTGACTGCTTGACTCAAGACCTTGAAAAGCCCAAACCCAAGTTTGTTAAAGAGGTTTTGGAAAAGTGTATGAGGTAAATTTCACACACATTTTTATTCAGTTGCATTGCAACTTTTTATAATAGCTGCTACATGTTCTGCTGTTTATTAACAATGAGCCTTGGTTTATAAACCTGCAGGTTGTCGTACCATCAGAGGATAGTGGATATTGTTCCTGCGAGTTTCTCTGTCCTGATCCCTGCTGACCCTGTGTGCTTCTATAAATATGGAGAGGAGACCAGCAGTATGTTCAGATGCATGAACACATCTGTGATTTAATGCATACATTTGTATTTATGTGTGTGCATTATGGCTGTAACGATACGCGACATAAAATCGAAATCGCGATACTCAGGTCCACGATCCTGTATCGCGATGTGCAGGCACGGATTAACGCACGGGCCTACTGGGCACTTGCCCAGGGCACTGGGCCAGCAGGGGGCCCTGTAAAATGTACTGTGTCTATTCTTTTCAAATAATTATTTTTATTTTATTTTTATTTTCAGTAAAATTGTGTTAAATATTGAGGAATAATGTGATTTTTTTTGCAGTTGCAAAGTATTAACTACTAAATAAATCAAATAAATAATTTTAATGTATTGCTGCGCTGTTGAGAAGGACATCTAGAGGCGAGTGAAAAGCATTGCGTAATATAAAAGTCACGCAGAAGACGGTTACTCAAAAACCAAAACAAAAATGAGTTTAAAACCACAACCAAGGCAGAACATAGGCTAAGTTGTTTATGTTTTACAATAGTAGCCTATGGGCTTATTTTTTTAACGAAATGTCAATCTTCATCTTTATAACAGAAGATATAATACAATACAACAATCTTCAAGATACAGTAAATCTTCAAATGTGTAACGGATTGTCACCTTAAAAAGTGTCTTTTGTGGTGGAACAAGCAATGCTATATAGCATCTTAATTTAATCTTTGTTTTATTATTTTAGTTCATTAACTAATTGTTAACTCAACTAATTTAACGTAAAGACCTGGATACTAGAATTAGGCTACTAAATAAAACTAAATAAATGTCAACTAGCCTAAATGCATTGATTAGAATTGCCATTGACTAAAGATTTTCTAGTCGACGACTAGTAGTCATTCCTTTAAGCAATTAGTCGACTAATCTCAAGTTAATATTAATTTCTGCTTAAATACTGAGTGGAGAACAAAATAGCCTATTCCACGCTCAAGCAAGCGCATGCATAAATATTGCCTCAAAGCACCGGCAAAAGCAGGCTAATGATAATATATGTCTGGAAAAAAACTAGGCATTTTTATTGTTTAATAATAATAATAAATAAATAAATTAAATCAGTGTCGACTCGGCTGCAATCATATCTATATCTCCGCTGTAAAGTGGATGCGCCTTTAGAGAGAAATGCACCTTTCATATCATATCAGCCTAATCAGCCGGTATTTGCTTTCGATTCGAATTTTTTCGTTTAAAAGTGGACATTTCAAGCTTTATATAGAAATATTCATCATGTATGTGAGGCTATACACTGTGTTTCAGTTCATTTTTGAGACGCGCTCCAGTTCACGCCACGGAGACCATGAAAGCGCGCCCTGTTTGTTTTATTTTATTTTACAAAAGCACAACGTTTTCTTGTTATTGTGAGTTTACAAAAATAAAAGTAGCTACTTGCGACTGATGCATTATTCTTTTCTGTATAGGCCTATGACCAGAAAAGATTGAGTAGGCCTATTTCAAGTTGTTTCCACTGTTGATAGGAAAATGCAAGTGTTCGCGCCGACGCCTGCCATGCAGTGCGCGCTGCACACTCCGCACACGCACTTGGATATGCATTTATCTAGGTTAAAGTTAGAGCGAGCTGCCATGCCAGACGGATAAGTTATTTTCATGTTTAACAAATCAAATCATGCATTTTCTACCTACCGCGAGTAAGCGCTGCACCAGTTTGAAAAAGGTAAAAGCATAACGAGCGTAACGAGCGAGAGGCCCCACACTGGGGGATGCAGAGATGTTGCTGCGTCTGTTATTATTAACATTTCTGATTGTTTAAATGACCAGCCCTCGGGGGATCCCCTCAAAATGCCTGGCTTGCCTGCCCACTGTTGTCCAAAAAATTGGTGAAGGGGGCCTTTGAGACATCCGTGCCCAGGGCACATCATCGCCTTAATCCGTCCCTGGCGATGTGAGAAGGCAGAATCGCGATCACAACCCTTCCAACTCCCAGAGTTATCCTTCCCGTCCAGATCCAATGCTACCACATCTTTAAATTACTATTAGTATTATTTATAGTTAACATTATAAAAAACGTAGACCTACACCACAAAACTAGTTGAGGATAAATTATTTAAAATTTGGCCATTTCAGCGTTATGGACGTGAAATTTGCAGCCAAAACTTGAAATATAAATTCTCAGAAAGTGCATTTAATACCAATATATTGACACTTCTGTTTATATAGCCATAGCCTACTCCCTTAATAAAGTCCAGTACATGTCCAGACATTAGAAAAATATAAGTCTACACATGCATTTTATATTTAATATGAGGGAAATATACACGTGTACACAGACGCGACACAAAACATCTTTAATTTTTAGGTGGCAATTTTTAAAAATATTTTTTATAATTCTGTAAATTACACTGTACAAACCAAAAGTAATAGGCTACTAGGCTACCCACCGGATGAAGGAGGGTTGGCTCTCCCCAGAACATAAAATATTCATTTTGTTTTATTTTTCGTGTTCGCATTTAAGAGGAAAAAACAATGTCGTGACAGTTCTCTGGAAGCGGCACTAAAACTTTCAGAGACCTCAAACAGAAAGCACAAAGACTTTAAATTGAATTTCGTTTTGTATTAATTGTATCTCAATTTTAATAAATGTTTCATCAACCAATTGCCTGGATTTAATAAAATAAGTAGTAAATATAGCAGACAGATAATCACGACACAGAGGGGCCGGCGCGTGAACTGGAGCTCGTCTCAAATGAATCGAAACCCAGTGTATAAGCCTAGCCTATAGACCTGAGAAATATATCTGCCGGTATATTGAAATGTCTACTTTTAAACCGAACAATTCAAAACGAAAGAAAACAGACTGCTCTCTGCTTATGTAATCCGTCTGAAAAGCGCATTTCTCTCTGGCGCGTTCACTACTGCGAAGATCGCGAGTCAGCATGGCAACTTCTTCTTTGCAGCTGACACTGACAGAAAACACTAATAAACAATTGAATGTCTCCTTGCTATATTTGACATATTCACAATCATTACTTTTGCCGGTTCTTTGTGTAAGCTTATAGGTGCTTTATTGGCAGTGCCAGCCTTACGTTACATGAACGCGTCACCACCGCATCAGCACCGAAAACTGGAGATTTTTTTAGACAATAATCGCACAACCTTTTTGATATTCTATTATTAAATACTCAGTGACTCATCCCAACCAACTATTTAAAAAAAAAAAAAACTTGTAAGCATCTTTTTACATGTTACATATCATGTGAGTCGTGACTACCTGTCCATGTGACGCGAGCTATTTGAAGAACGTGAAGAAACATGGAAATCAACCCAGAGATTGCGGACCCTCCCAATAGCCTACATTTCAGTCAGCAGTATGTCAACATTTCGGCTACACGGTGGAGAAAAGGGATGGCAACCATAAGTGTTTTAATAAGCTTCCTCAATTGACCGGCAACACGTCCAACATGCAGATGCATATCCTACGGCACCATCCTGAAATCAATTTAGTTGGAGCACAGAACACAACCCAAAAGCAGCAGCCTACACTGCCTAGTTTAGTTTAATAATTTGCAGTTATTATTGTTCTTTGGTGTTCAGATTATACAGGTTTTTCCTAATGTTATTTAATAAAAATACCAGTATACATATATTTTTTCTCTCAATCTCTTTTTTTTTCACCCAAAGCCCCGCCCCCTCAAGCCCCGCCCCCGTGACAAAATCGCGATTCGAATCGTGGGTCAAAAATCGTGATACGAATCGAATCGTGGGTTTGGTGTATCGTTACAGCCCTAGTGTGCATGTATACATGTTTGCACTGAAACAAAATCTTCAGTCTTTTTTTACATTTTACATTCTCAACCAGCAAGTTTTACTATGATTTTAACACCTATATTATAGTACAGTTGTGATATTGCTGTGTAATGTTTTTTTTTTCAGCTTCATTACCTGGATTTCCTGTGACAACTACAGTGGGTAACGCTATCAAAAACCGGGCGTCTAATGAGGAGATTCTTATTGTTCTAAAAGACGTCCCTAATCCCAACCAGGATGATGATGATGGTGGGTCTTTCTTTGGTTTAGTGCGCAAGTCACTTGCCAATCATACTCTTACATCATTAGTTTAGGGCTATGAGTTGATTTTTAAAAGGTTATATAATTAATTATGTGATGTGCTTAATTAACAATATATTTATGATGTATTTACATAATGCATTACTGTGGTAGATGGGGGGTCAGTACGATTTCCTTTTATCGGTATCAACTGTCCTGAGCCGGATCCTTTATTTTGTGCCAGCTGTCATGCAGGTGTTGTGCAGTAGGTGGCGGTGTGCACCTTCAAGTGGGTTTGCCATCTGCCAATAAAAGGAAAGGAAGCTGAAATGTGCATAGCTGTGTTCGAAATTGTCCCCATATCCTTCACTAATATAGTCCACTTGAAGGAGTTGATAAAAACGAGTGAGTGAATTCGGGGACTGAGTGCACCGGAAGGGCTTTTGCGTAGTGTGTGCTTGCGGTTTAATAATCATTTGAAACTTGGCAAACTCTGTCATGGAAACTATATATAGGAAACTTAATTGAACAATTTAATAATCGAATTAAAAAGGAATTTATACCTTCACAATATTACGCTGTAGCCACATTGGACCAGCAGTTTGAAAAATGGATGGATGGATGATTCAGCTGCGGGCGCCATCTTCTGGTCAGACTCAGGAATTAATTCGGCACGACTCTCACGGTGCATTTAGGGTATTCTCTTGCCATTGGGTCTCATTCATGAAACACGAGCAGAACGAATTTTTGTGTAAATCGTGTGTAAAGTGGTTCGGGCGTAAATTTTCGGATTCATTAAAATGTTCGTATTTCCCAAATGTTAGTTGGTACACAAGAAATCTACACCTGCTCCCAGCCACGCGTAAATAGTGCGCTTAACACCCGAACGTTTTGCTCATTAATAAGGCTGCATTTTAATTCACCTTAATCGGGTACATATTTGCACAGCATTTTGAAAAAATATTATATATAGTAATTACATACGGTTTTTCTTATAATGAGAGCCAGTAATAGCATCTGCGATGGTGGTCCTTCTCCAGTTTGAATACTATTTTTCCGAAGTGAATTAATTCGTTTTTTGCTCTCAAGCTTAATGTCGAACCATTTTCTTCTCACTTCTGGGAATGTTCGATTAACAGATGAAACTCCATTAACTGCATCTGTAATATGCTGCCAAGCTTCCTTTTTTTAAGGACCCGATACGCCACTATGTACGCTTGAAAATAAAATGTGGCGTTTTGAATGAACTTCTGATAATAAAACTTCAATTTCTGCATCTGAGAATTTTTTTTTTTCGCATTCATGTCATAATATGATGCCCATATATAGTTGTCAGTCGGATTTAATGGGCGGGATTTATGGTAATTGAGAATGAACGTGCACGCGCATCCCATTTACGACTGATTGGAATTCATTAACACACACACACACTTCACTATCACATCTGATGTTTACGAAGTATTTGTGAATCAGGAGAAGACTTTTCGGGAATGTCTCTTTACGCGCAAATCACTCGCATATTTACTCGTATATTTACGAATGTTTCATGAATGAGACCCAATGAGCGTAAAACAGTTGTACACTAATTTTTGCTTTGCATTGTGGGTTTAAATGAGTGGACTCGATAACTCGACCCACTATGGTTTCAGACACCACTATAAATGGCTGTTCCCTCAAATAGTGCCCAGTATAAGGGACGATTTCGGACACAGCCCATGTGTAATGTGCGAGAACACACTGTTTTTGTTGCAATTATTCTGCTTATTGTACATATAAAATACATGACATTTATTTTAGTAGTTCCATAACTGAGACCACTCAACTCGATTTACAATGTCTACAATGTCATATATAAAATAGGTCTATAAATATAATTACTGTAGTGATTATTCTAATGGAATTACTCCATAGTGATATACATTTGAGTGTATTTGAAGTGTGCACCAAGCACTAGGAAAATACAAGTATCGGGACTCGGTATCGGCAGATACTCAACATTCAATGACTCAGGGGTACAAAAAATTGGGACATTCCTAAAATTAATATAAATTGTTAAATTGTTCAAAAGTGACCGTAAAGACATTTTATAATGTCACAAAAGATGAAAATTTCAAGTAAATGCTGTTCTTTTTAAACTTTCTATTCATCAAAGAATCCACAGTATCAACATTGATGATAAGAAATGTTTCTTGTGCACCAATTTTATATAAAATCTTTGGAGAGCATAAGAAATTCATTCTAAAAGCATTCAAAAACACAGGCTTTATTTGGTTATTAGAAAGTGCTTTTAGTCATAAAAGGAAATAATTATGTCATTATACTTCGAACTTGGCAATGTGTGCTATGAGTATTGCTGGCTTTTGTGAACAATTGCTTGATGTTCCTCCAAGTTTGAATGTTTCTGTGAATAAAAGTGTCTCCTACGTGAATAAATGTAAATGTGTGGTGTTCTGTATCTAACCACACTTCTCCTCTCTGTCCAGATGAGGGCGATGGCTTCAACCCTCTAAAGATTGAAGTGTTCCTGCAGACGCTGCTCCATTTGGCTGCAAAGTCCTTCAGTCACTCCTTCAGTGCCCTGGCCAAGTGAGTAACTCCTGCCAAACCCCACACAGGCCTGCCAGCGGCTGGCTCCGCGTTCCCTCTCCTTCTGCTCACAAAGGGCGCCTGTAATTGCTAAAAGCACAGATCATTGGGAATGTATCAAAGCTTGTAAAATGCTCAGGTGTTTTCTTCTCGTAAACAATGATGGGCACATTTCATTTCTCTCTCAGGTTTCATGAGGTTTTGAAGGCCCTCACAGATTGTGATGAGGGGAAACTGCACATCCTCCGGGTTCTGTACGAGTTCTGGAAGAACCACCCACTGGTGGGATCATTCAGACTTCATACTTTATTGTCTTATTGCATGTCATTCGTGGCGTCTGTGGAAGCTCATGTCGTGAATGTACTCTTTCAGATGATCTCAGTGTTGGTGGACAAGTTTATTCGGACCCAGATCGTGGACTGTGCGGCCGTGGCCAACTGGGTGTTCTCTCCTGAAATGGCTCATGATTTCACCAGGTATACCTCAGAGCACACTCAGACACACACACTTACATGTGCAGGTGAGGTGACTGCAGCTGGAATTGATTTACGTTCATTGGGCCTATGCAGGTTTTATGTGTGGGAGATTCTTCATTCAACCATCCGGAAGATGAACAAGCACGTGCAGAAGATCCAAAAAGAGCTGGATGAGGCAAAAGAAAAGCTGGAGAAGCAACAGAACAAAAAGGTAGAAGACAGACACATCTTTTGAGTGCCAAGTCATGTGTGCACTGACTGTCCTCACTGTTACTTTTTTAAGGGTTTAAGTTGCATCATTTGTTTGGGCAAGGCAGTTCATATCTGAAATGTCTACATTGGTTGCTGTATTAATACCGTTGGAGTCGGCCTAAGGCCAACAGACTTTATTATTCAACAATAACTGCGAGTAACTGGAAATTTGGCTTCTGGTCATGTCAGTCACAATGTTTAGCCACAGTGCTGAATCCTTTACGTCCCTGAGACAGCATATGTCTATTTTCCCAGACACTACTATCCCAAAACTACTTCCAGTCAGACTAATGGCTCGTTTCCACTGAGGCGTACGGTACGGTACAGTACGGGTCGGGTCGGTACAGCATGATCCGGCTAGTGTTTCCATTGCCCAACAGTACCCTTACTTGATAGGCGTGGTGTTTGCCGGAAAGAACCGACCGACGTCATTTTTGCGCGAAGAAAGCGACATAGTTAACAACAATGGATGACAGACAGCATATCTTGTTCTTGCTTCTCGGCATGTTTGTCACAAGAAACAAGCGCTGGCATTAGGCGTTTCTCAATACCAAGTAGCCTACGCAAAGTCCGACTCAGGAGAATGATCCCGAGGACGCGAGTCCAGTAATTCTGCTGATGGAACAGCGTGTTCTTGAATGCGCCACTCAGCTCGCTCTGCTACTCCGGTTATGTACATTTTAGGCAACAATAAAACGAAATATGTTATAAAACACCACTATGCTTCTTTTCGATTTAATTTAAATACATTTTAAACATTATAAGCACACAAATGTGGTTCAGGCAACGCATAGCCTATTGATTATATTCACTGCATGTATGTAACGTTATATTTATAACAAAACTAAACATAAAACACAACCCTGCCTCTTTTCATTTAAATTTAAAAATATTAAACATATTCCAGGCAATGTATTGCATTGGTACAAATGTTGCAATAAACAACATTACAGATGATCTTGTAATAAATAAAAAAAATGACAACGGTCTATTTTTGTTGAATTTCAGTTTTATCAATAATAGCCATTATAAAAGTATAAGGAAAAGGTACAAAAAGATATACAGTAAAGCTTTAATAACATAAAGCAAACAATTCAGTCAAACATACAAATTCAGCGCTCAAATATATGAAACTTCACTTAGCCTTCTGCCAAAACTATTGGCCAGGGAATGAATTATAGATTCACGAGACCAAAGATCGCCTGTTAGGTCTGTACAAGACGAATTATATCATGTTTAACCACTACAGAGACGTCAGAGTCAGCGGCAAACATCAGAATGACTAGCCGGGGAAAGGCTGCTCCAGGTGGGGTGCACGAGCGCCGAGCTTCCGGTGATTGCTTGGAATGGATCTTCAAATTATCATAAATCTATAAATAAACCACAGATTTGAGCTTTAAAAAACTACTTTCTCGCCTGAAAAAGTCTTAACTACATTTCGTGACACAATAACAGTCGTATTATATTTCAACTGTATGCTTCTAATGCCCTTGTAGCACGGGCAAGTGACGATACTCTGTCAACCAATCACCGTTCTGCAGTGAGTCTAGCTCCACCTTTTAGTACCGTACCACTGTGCTAGGTACCCCAACGGAAGGGTACCCAAAAAGTGGTACGGTACGGTTGGGCTTTTTGGTACCATTCACAACTTTTGACAGTGGAAACGCAAATAATTGCGAATCGAACCGAACTGTACCGTACCGTACCGCTCAGTGGAAACGAGCCATAACAAAAATGTCTAATAGATAGTAAATGGGTTTCAAATCTCACTGTATGCAATTCTGTTATTTATTGCTTTCAAAATTGGGTTTGGGTTGGCATTGCGTTTGTTTTATTTTACATATTGTTTCATTTGTGTATATACCTTTTTCATATTTGTTTTATTCTGCATGTTGTTTTATTTATATTTGTTATTTTATAAAAGTAAATAAAGCTAAGTATGTATATAATTAGAGAGAGCAGAGTTAGTCCTTTGGAAATTACATAACTACATTTCTTAAATGTACATTTTAAAAAGTAAAAGACTACAAAATCTCTTTTTCTTTGCTCCAATATATTCATTTTAATTGTATTTATTTGCTTATCGAGGAGAGGACAGTAAGTCTTTGGACACTGTATTGAAGTATATCTTATTTAATGAAATAATTTGATGGAAACGGCATGATAAATGTACATTTAAGGGAAATGATTATGCACCATTATTTCTAAAATATTTTTGTTAATTAAAATACTCATATCTGCAAGAAATGGCAAGCTGAATGGGATCAGTGTATAACAAAAAAACTTTACAAAATCAATCCTGTGGTTGGTTTAAAATCATTTTGAAAATCGCTGGGATCATATTACATACAGACGCCGTAGAATAGGGCACTCCAGACTAACTCATTTGTTTCTGTTAACGGGTGATCCTCCTTTATGTCCCTCTTGCCAGAATCCATTATCACTGAAGCATATTTTGATGGACTGTGATAGATTGAACTCTGTTGGAATTCTTTATTTCAGTTGACTCTCATGAATAGATTTTTAATGAAGAAAGACCAGATCTAGTTTTATAATTTTTTATCTACAAAAGATACGTTCTTTTTTTAATCTTTCTCGCCACGAATATAGCCAGGGTAGCTAGCATGGCGTTAAACTATAAACAATCAAATATTTTAGAATATCAGTCAATATGAGTATGTGTGGGTCCTTTTAAAAGCTCTACTCAGTTTCACTAATGTGAAGCCTGGTACTGAATGATGTTCACTAACTACTGAGAGAGCGCTGGAGCCAACTGTGTTCCTGAGATCTGAGGAGGTTTTTGTTTTCTGTAGCAGCGGGATAGCGGCGACGAAGAGGACATGGAGAAACAGAACAGTGAGGATGAGGAGGGTCAGTTGGAGGAACAGATCGAGAAGCTGCAGGAGAAAGTCGAGTCGGCCCAGAGCGAACAGAAGAACCTTTTCCTTGTAATTTTCCAGGTGCGCCCATGACAAAGCACATCCATTGTACCTTTTTTGTTGGCAAATTATTTATTTTTATAGAGGCTTCAGAGCGACATTTTCAAAAAATGATAAAGCTGCAAAAGATACATCCCTGGTAATAACACAACTCACAACATGAGAGAATACATGTTACATTCTTTTTATGTCTTTCTCTCTTAGTTTGCCTTTTGTGGTTCATTATGATATGGGAAGACAGTGCCTGGAGCTAAGAGATGACAAAAGAACTGTTTTTTTTTTTTATCTCTCTCTGTCTCTCTCTCTTTCAGCGCTTCATTATGTTACTGACAGAGCACCTGGTTCGCTGTGAAACGAGCGGCGTAGACATCAACACCACCTGGTACAAGAACTGCATCGAGAGGCTGCAGCAGATCTTTCTCATGGTAGTCCTGATCCATTTGTTTGCTGATCTATATTGTGGTTTTTATAATATGTCATATAACAGCCCTTATTAATTGCCTTCAATCTTCATCGTCACCTACAGCATCATGTGATCATCCAGCAGTATATGGGCACCCTGGAGAACCTGCTGTTCACCGCTGAGCTCGACCATCACATCCTGGCTGTTTACCAGCAGTTCTGTGCTCTTCAGCTCTGAGATCCCACAATGCATCACTTCAGACTGTCACACCTGCCTGTTTAGTGACATCCATCGGAATAATTGGAGATGGCTTGCTTTAGTAGTGATATTGGGAAATATCATACTTATTTTGGGGCCCATTATGTTTCTGTAGGTTTTTATTTTTTTCGTTTATTTTTTATTATTTTTTACCCATTGTCATTTGCTCTGTGGTAAGTGTCGATCTTTTTAAAAAGCCCAGCGTTTCTGTAAAGCAGATTGAAGTCTTTTGCCAATGTAATGCCATATTTTGGATGATGAAATGCCTTCCTCTTTTTTTTCCTTTTTCTTTTTTTTTACAAAAATAGAAACAAAAAAACAGGACTGCTTATGTCTTTTGTTCTTGCATGCATCTTATCATATCAGATTGTGGATTAGAAAATAGTGATTGGGATTTTACAAAAGCAAATCCATGTCAAATCAATGATGTTTGATTGTTCTTAACAGTGTGAAAAGAAAATGAAACTTTTAACATCATTGCTTGTTTTGGGTATGATTAAGATAAAATATAATAGACAGAGGTGTGTAATGAGTGCACAATGACTTTTTTTTCCAAAAACAGTATTCTGGATTGTATAAAATTAATTTTATTACATACAAACAAAAAAATAGCAAATGCTTTGGTCAAGTTAGCAGAAATAGATAGACGTTTGGTAAGAGATCATGTACAGTATGTGTTTTGAATGGGTCTTTGGCACCATACCTTATTGTACATTATCACGCTCGTTACATGGCTACTTGCTAAATGAATACATTTACCATGAAAAGGATATTACTTCACTTGAGTGAGAAGAGAAACACCACAGAGTTATTTGAGAAACAAAACTTGCAGTGAATGGGATAATGGTCAAATATACAGTTTGGCAGTCATAAACCTTTTGACCGCACAAATTGAGTATTGCCTAAATCTGTAATATGTGCAACAATACCATAGTTTAAATGATAGCATATCTATATACAGAATGGATACTTGAAGCCAGCAATCTTTCATTTCTGCTCTTAAGGTAGAAAGTCAGTCCTATGGACATTTTATTGCACTCAAATATACCTCTAATTTCATAAAAAACAAAACAATAGCCTTAGTTTCTAACTTGCCTCATAAAATAACTATATTGTAAAAAATAATAATGCCTGAAGTATAACAGTTAGAAATCTTTCTGTACCCTTTAATGCAATAAAAACATATATACATAGAGATTAAACTTGCATAAAACATTTGGTCTTTGTACCTTTATCTATTCTGTTTCTTTAATGGAAACAGAAATGTTTTTTGTGCGTCTAAGGTTTTATGTAACATTAATGGCACTTGAGGTGGTACCACTTCTTGAGTAAAACAAACTAGCATTTTTAAGGCACAGATTTTCAGTGTTATTGAGGTAAAAGTCTTTTTAAAGTGTGCGTAAACACGGTCATCTGTGGTTTCTCTGCCTATCTCTTTATGCATCAGTGCTGTTTGCCCAGGTGTCTCCTCCTGTTGACTGGTCTGTCACTGTCTTTGGTGAGGCTGTGGCTTCCGCACGGAGTCTCCGGTAATCCGTGTGGAAAAAGACAACAAAGCAGCAGGTGCCCAGAGCACACAGGCCTGCCATCACCAGCACTGGCACTATCAATGTGTGTTTGTGTGAGAGTGTGCAAATAGGAGAAAGAGAGAGAGAAAAAAAACAAATGAATGCCTGGAGCTCAGCCCAACTCTATCATTAACTCATCAAGCGACCAGGAAAAGCCGGAAGGCTGGATTAATTTGGACATGTTCCCATTTTAAATGTGGGTTTAGTTTAGCTGGAAAGATGAAGTGAAAATAGTGCACTAACCAACAACACTCAACAAAGAGTTGCAAAGCATGCTGGGAGTCATGACTCGGTGCAGGGAGGAAACTAATGGCCATTGGAATACTGCCATGCTTTTTCAGCACACTCCACAGTGAACACTGTGCACGGCGTGCTATCGTGCAACACTCACCTGTCCAGCTCAAATTGGCATCCGCTCCAGTTGCACATACGGATAATGAAGAATCTGCAATTGGTTTGGCCAGAGCTTGAAGCAGCAGCATATAGAGGGCGGCCTGAATTTGTCTGATTAAACACATCAGTTTAGTCTATAATAAAGAACTAAAGAGAAGAGTTTTAGCCACAGCATTGGTTTAAAAAACAAAACAAAAGTTACCCAGATACGAAGATCAATCCAGAGGATGTTGCTTCACCCACAGGGTATGAGCATTCAACTCCGAGCTCCATGGCGATGGGATATACAGAATACCCGAACAAACCGAACCACGCACATACTGCACCAATGATCAACTTCTGCTCACTTAACTGGGACACCTGAAGGACAGCAGGACGACAACATCTCAGGCCAAGCACTCATTAGCAACACTGAGATCATTCGCTATACTCACCACTGCAAAAACAGAGCAGCCCAGAGATGTCAAACACATGTTTATTTTAGTGACTTCTGTAAAATTCTTGGTCTTGTCCACGTACAGGCCCAGGAGAAAGGCGCCCAGAACACCGAAAACAATGGAAACTGCACCGCACAGTCCTGCAAAGTCCTGTCACATTAAAAATGCAGAGACAAAGTAAATAATTTGACTCGACAAAGCTAACACTACTTATAATAACAGTACTAATACTAATTCATCTATCTATCCATCTATGCTGTGTATATGTTTATTATGAGGGGTGCGTCTCAATCAGCTCCCGAGCTCATGAATCAGTATATCGTGTGTACAAGAATCTGGGCACCAGACTACACATTGGGACAGTGATTACTCAATTAGACTATGTACAGCGTCAACGTGCAATGTTGGGTTACACTTTATTTTAAGGGGTCATTGTTACAGTGTAATTATATATTTAAGTACTGAGTAATATTAAGCAACTACATGTACTTACTATAGGGTTAGGGAAGGATTTGGATTTGGTTGAAGGTTAGTTGCAAGTAATTATGCATAACTTACTGTTATTACTATGGTAAGTGTATGTAACATGTAACAAGGACACTGTAAAATAAAGTGTTACCCAATGTTGTACAAAGTCACCGCAGGTATTATTCAACAACAGGCAGGACCTATATCTTTTTGATATTATTTGTTATGCTGTGTAAACACATTGATATGTTACATATCTTTACAACATTTAAGCCGAATGTTAACTAGATGTGTTCACTAGCTGTCTTGCGATGTGCGTTTATGATGACGTATAATAAAAAAACGGTTTGTCTTTTTTAATCTTCTATGGCATGTCATTATTTTTATTGACTAGGCTGGTGCGTTTTATGTTTTGCACTCCAACAATGAGACGAAATTTCCGGTAAGGGAACATAGGAACACAATTCTCCCTGGTTTTTGCAGTGCATTGTGGGATTTTTTAGGGAGCGAACGTTCCAGTGCACTGGAAGGATTTTGCGATTGAGACAGCTCCTAAAATGGCCGACTCCCTGATCAGTGCCCTGACTGACACGCACCCTATGTTTTTAAACATTTGATTTTAGTTACTCAGAATATTATGGAGCAGGCTGGCTTTTGAGGTAAAAAAAAAAAGAAAAAAAGTTTGAGGTGAACGTGTGAGTTTTTGTGTTGGCAATAATCCCGTGTTGGGTTCTTACATTTGAGTAGCCCTTAACACAAAGTATCTGCTCCAGAAAGGTGGAAAAGCAAGTGAATATTCCTATTCCTGAACCAAAACACACCAGCAGGACCATATATGCTTTGTTCGTCAGTAGCTGTAAATAAAAGTAACAGAATACAAAATGTAAGGAAACTAAATGCCACCTTAAATCAGAGGCTGTTTCATACATTTTTGAAAAATGCTCATTAGTCAAGCAGTAAAGAGTTGTGAGATCTGTATGCCGTGTCAGTTTGTTCAGAAGTGTGTGTAGTACCAGTTTCACCCCCTGTAGAAAAGGTTCAGAGCTGGAGGTCACCACGCTGGCGGAGGGGGGTGTTGGGGGAACGCGTTCACGGATCCCCACTGTTGCTAGGAAACAGGCTACGGCGGCAGGTATAGCATATATAAAGAGCTACAACCCAGACAGACGACGGGCCTGTTAGAGATCATACAAGCATTGAAATTCGTTTGTGACCAAGTTCTGACTTAAGCGGTCTTACCAGCATAAGAAGATTATTGGTGTAACTAATTATCATGGGAGAGAAGATATTCGCAAAGAGCAGCCCAACAGTATTTGCTGGAAAACAAAAGAGAAGAATATTAGCATTCTACATACATAGAAATGAATACCATGTAAAACATGAGCTGTGGGTGAATAGGTTACCCATGGAAGCCATCATGTTAGCTGTGGCCCTCTGGTGATCGGGGAACCAGAGAGCTGCCAGCTTGGTGGGGGCAAAGATGATCAACGGCTGGGCGAAGGCACACAGCGTCTGGCCGCCCATGACCATAGGGAACACGGCCCACTCTGGGATGCATTTCAGCACGCCAACGAAACGCAGGACACTGCCCAACATGTTGAGCCAGGAGCCCATGATTAGCTGTTTCAGAAGATAGGAAGAAAGTAAAGTATAAGTATAAGGGCCTGTTGCTTTTTGCGAGAAACAGGTCAGTCTAGAAACACGTTTTTTAAAAGGTTTTTAGAATGCGCGAGACGCTGCAAAATGGTTAAAGACGTCAGTCTAATTCGTTTACATTGAAAAACAATGGAAAAGTAGCGCAGTGGAATGGAAAATGTGTGTTCTGTGTGACTTTCACTTTCCACCACAGGAAGAATCTGTCATTTTTCTTATAAACACATTTTCAAAAGTTTCTTTCCCACGACATCCCAAATGATGTATTGTGTTTAATAACTTTAGGGGAAATTATGTTTTAAATGTTATAATTATTGATAATAATAAATGTTTAAAATAAATAAATAGGATAAAATGGCTGAATCATTTGTTAACACAATTAAATAATATTTTATTAAAATATTTTTTTTTACATAATGAGGTTTTGGATTACTTGACAAAATGACAAGTACACTAACTTTTGAGAAAACTTTAAAAGTCGGAAGTGGGTCGCAGACTGGACCAATAGCACTTTTTTCAAGAAAAAAGTGCCGTCGGTAAGTTTAAAGGAATACGTTTAAAAAAACTGTAAGTTCACTGAAACCTATATGATCAGTTATTACAGACTATTATATGACCTTCACTTTAACCTTCATGTTTTAAATATGGCATGGTGTCACACTACAATGGTAGGCCTAACCAAAATTTCTGCCAAAATACCACAGATACTTCAATTATATTTACAATTAACTGTGATATTAGTCAACACTTCCACAAAAAAAAAAAGACATGCATTATTGCTTTACCATGGCTTTTACAGTAGGAACAATAACTTTAATAATGCTATTTGGCAAAAACTATTTGGTCCTTTTTGTTCTATAACATGGAAAACAAAATTTAAAGGGATAGTTCACCCAAAAAATGACAATTCTGTCATCATTTACTCACCCTCAAATTGTTCCAAACCTGTATGAATTTCTTTCTTCTGCTGAACACAAAAGAAGACATTTGGAAGAATATGGGTGCCCAAACAGTTAATGAACCCCATTGTTTTTATTTATTTATTTAACCTTTATTTATCCAGGTAAACTGTTTGAGAACCACTTCTCATTTACAAACATGACCTGGCCAAGAGGCTACAGGAATAAATAAGAACATACTGTACAGCTGCACATAGTCAAACACATAACACATAGAACAAGTAACTAAATTAAAAAAAGATAGACAACAAAGGGGAAAAAGAAAAGGAATAGAGTGCTTAAATATGTGTGTATAAATATGGTTCATGATTGTCAGCAGGAACAAGAGTCAACTATGTAATTTTCGAGCTTTTGTTTAAAGGTGGAGATTGGGATCAGAGATGTAAGTTTCAGGGTATTTTGTAGTATGTTCCAGTCATGTACTGATGCAAAGCGGAAGGCATTACGTCCAAAGGTAGTAGAAGTAGGGGGGGTACTTAATTTAATCAAATTACTTGACTTCCATAGAATTTGTTTTCTATAGACTATGGGAGGCAATGGGGTCCATCAACTCTTTGGTTTCCGACATTCATCAAAATATATTCTTTTCTGTTTAGCAGAAGAAAGAAATTCATACAGGTTTGGAACAACTTGAGGGTGAGTAAATGATGAAAGGGTGAACTATTTTGGGGTAAACTATCACTTTACTATATTTGCTTTATAGTTAAAGTGTGAGAGTGTGTAGAGAGAAATATGATTCTGTATACCGAGAAGCGCAGTCCCAGTGTGTCCAGTACCCATGTTGTGATGAAACTGAAAAAAATGGCAACCACAACATAGACTAGCGACAGCCAGTTGACCAGGTTGAGAGAGATTCGCAGATACTGTGCTGTCTGGTCGGCCACGGGTGCAAAGGTCAGCCACGACTGTGGAGAACACAATAAAAACAAAGGTTTAGCTGCACATTGAGTTATACAGATGCATAGTTCACAACAATACAACATATAAGACAATATTTTATTTCTGTTGGTGTCTTGACACGGCTGAATTGATAAAATGCATGAGACAGGAACAGCTTGCTCATATGACACAAAGTCTCAGTTCAACATTTAACAGCTGAAGCTGCAAAAACCAGAAACCACAGGTCAGAAGGGCCCCTCACATGAGCTAAACATGACAAACACACAGTGTAAAAGAGCAGCAGGGGTTCAAATCGTACTGAGAAATTATACTATATACTATAAAAAAGACTACCCTTAGGAATATACCGTAATTTAGTAACACGAGTATCCACTTTTAATGGTACTAGAGTTGTAATGAAGAAATGAAAATGGACGGTTCTTGTTTTTATGGAATATTGCAGTGTTTATTATGATTTAACCGTGCACATCTTTTTCTTTTAATTCATGTGCCTTGTAATCTTTAATCAAAACAACTCCCCCTCCCTCTTGCAGCGACATCTCTTCTCTGATGACCTGTCACTCACACGACATCATAGCAATACCAAACCACAAACGATCCAATCAATTCCCAAATGGACAAAATCAAGTCCCGCCCTACCGTTTTTCTTGTTCGAGAAGCAGCTTAACTCAGATACAAGTCACAATACCGAAGAAAAGACTACAGCAACTTCCGTTTCATGTTGACTTTTAAGTACTTTACACCCTTGAAAAGCATTATTTGCAGTGCAGAGACCATTTGCAGTGTTTTTGATTGTTCATTTACACTGTTGCACACAAAATCCTTTATTTGTTTGCTATCAAGAATACTATGTATGCAGCAGCGTGACAGATGGCAGTCAGCTGATCCCAAAACACAATACAGTCGTGTCATGCACCACTGCACAACTTACTGGGATGCTGTTTCGCATTAATTCAAATGCATAGATGCTTTTTTCACAGTCAGTGTAGAAATCCCTTTGTGCATTTTGTGTAACATAAGATGCTTTCCTAAAATAAACTGCTGATTGTACTTTAGAATTGCTTCTTAACACATGCACGGGACTACAATTCTGACCCACATCCACAGGTTTAGGCTGTTATCAGATTTCCTCAAGATTGTAATCTTCAAATAAACCCAGAATTACACCATCTGCTAAGCTTTAACACAGTGTGCCAAGACACGATGTACATATCTCGTATTTCAGATGAACAGCTTTGGACGTCTTGGCCTTTTAACACATATACAATGGTGTCCGTGCAAATGACAAGTCCCACTGGAGCCACGGGTGCGTAATTAAGATTGACAAGCCCCTTTCTGGCACACGCCCTCTTCAGAGATAATAGCCTCAGGGGGACGTATCCATGTCCTACTACAGCTGGGCTATTAGGAAGACCCTGTTATGACCCTGTAGACTGAAGCCCCTAGTGGAGTGTGTGAACATTTCCTAAATCGTTTCAACACTGGATACATGGGGCGAGTTGAGCAGCAACAGATATAATAAATCAATAGAGTATTCAGTGAATTTATATGATATGCAGATTAACTGACTCAGTTTTTGCATATACCTATGATTGAACATGAGCCTAACAAAAAATGCCAATATGGTTAGTTTACAGCACAGAGCTGTGAAACATGATTTGCTACTTTCTATTGCAAATCAGAGGCAGGTGGTTATCAGGGGAGGGACATTCTCAGGAAACATTTATTGGACAAAAATGTAACATTTAAGATGAGTCATCAATGCTTTTAGTCATTTTACAGGAAGAAAAATACTGTAAATTGAGTTTAGTTAAATATGAATGGCCTACACTAGGTGAAAGCTAGTGTAGACAAACTAAAGGCCACAAGCAACATGACATCATGACTTTGCGTAAACATACACGCCACTTTCAATTCAAGTGGCGTGTTGTCTGCTAAATGTTAATTTCATTGGGTTTTTAAAGTAAACCAATTTTTTTTTTTTTCTTGAAACATTTTCAAAGAAGAAAACAGTCACAATATAGAACAATAAACGAAAATAAAGGAAAAAGGGCCAAAAGTAAAGCAATTGTGCAATGAGGGGTTTCGTGACGTCAGTAAAAACAAAAGTTGTTTGTAGAGGCGGAGTAATTCAGATTTAGCAATTCATCTTCAGAAATCAATTCAATTCTTTGGGCATATTTCTACTTGCAGAACATTTTGATGAAAGATTACGATGACAAACAAAGTTTTTGGAACAACGTGCACCGATGAATCGTAGTACAGACCAGAAACATTAAGAAAATTTCGTGTGTGGAAATATTCTGTTAGCACCACTTTGGTTAACTAAAACTTCAGTTTTGACATTAACTTTGTAAATGATTGGTTATAACATACCATTGCGTTAGAACAATTAAGCAGGCAGAGAACAAATAAGATGAACCATCTTCTTTTGTAAACTTTGAACTCGGCAGGAGCGTTTCTTCCGTCCAGGTGAGACCGAACATCTTCACTCGAGCTCCCGATGAGCGCTTCAGTCTCCGCGCTTCCGTCATCCATTAAATGAGTTGCAAAAACTCTTCAAATTTCAAACAGTCCTGAGCGGTGTATCCATTTGGGTCCAAAAACAATTCTGTCGATAATCTACACAAATGAATAACTTCACCAATTTCATTTCCAAGCGTTTCCAGGCAGTGCACTCTTTAAATTCAAAGAGCAGGTCTAGCTTAGACCATTGTTATGGTTTTGGTTTCGCATATAAGCCGGTGAATGAGAGTTGAGAGTTGTTATGCGGCTTCAACATTACAACATCCAATCCACAATCACATCACCACTCCCTTCAACCCGTGACTCGCTGTCATAGCGCCGGCCGGGTTCTCTCCTGAAACTCCATTCTGTTATCTGTCTGGAGTTTAGTCAGCATCAGGAAAAGAAAGCTATTTTAAATGTTTCTTTCCAAAACAATCTGACTCTAAGAAATACGCCAACACTACATTCATTTAGGCTACTACATCAGTGTCATCATCTCATGCAAAGACTATGATCCAGTTCTGTTTGTTTAGTGGGCCTATATAACCCTTACGAAAATTAATAATGGGTTTACAAAAACAAAACAAAAACATGGTTACTAATATAGTTAAACCACAGTAAGTAACCACAATTTAATCATGGTTAGTTATTGATAAACTTGTTTATTTAATATTAACTTAATATTTCCAATAAATTAAAGGGAAAATGTTTTTTTTTCCTCTCTTACTATTTTAATTGAGAAAATGGAATGGAGAAAATCGTTTAAAGCAAAATGACCTTCCAGTTTTTGCAAGTTTAAGGAATGTTTTGTTATGGGATATTGTTATTGGTAATTATAATTAGTTAATAATTAGAAGTTTTTACTAGAATCAATATTGAACAGACCATGTCAAAATTATGACATTGCGGTATGATTTTACTAAATGTTGGAAACACTTATTCCCTTGGACCGTGAGATAAGCCCAAATCTTTTAAGCCTATTTGATGTGCTATTTATTTAGGCCTATTTATTTATATATTGAGGGGGTGTGTCTCAAATTCTTTTTTTTAAGTCGTGAGAGACAAAAGAGAACCACTCTGGAATGTGCTTTTTATTGTAGTCTATTATTTGTAGTAGCCTCATTTATAGTGCATTTGCTATCTAGGCTAATTTAAATTAAATTAATAATATATTATATTATGTCATTTATCATAAAAGTCGTGATTTAAGCATAACCACTCAATGTAATTTACTAAGATCCATGTAACTTTTCAAATGAATGAAACACATTAATGAAAGTATAATCCAATGGCTTTAGTCTCTCAGCCACCCCTCCTCCCTTTCTTAAAGTCAGCGCATGCGCAGCAGGGCTCTTCGGTGCGCTGCTTCGGCCTGTTTCGGCAGTGGCCGGACATTTTCGCCTCTTTGTTTTACTGATAGTGGATTTAACTCGGATTCAACCCAATATCCAGCGGACCGCTCTGGCCATAAACAGGTTTGTTCCTTTAAACTTGAACCGATGCCCGCTGATCATTGCACGAGCTTTGTTTCGGACGACAAACGCGGAGTTTTCATTTATTCTCGCTGTGTTTTTTTCCGCTTGATGGCAGCTCTGCATGGCTATACGTGCTGTTATCTGTGCGGTCGTGTTGTATGTGTGTGTATGCGTGTGTAAATGCGTGTGTGTGTGTGTGTATGGCGACACCGGGCCCTGCAGCTCCTAACCGGGGTCATCTTTTGTAAGAAAGGAAAAAGTGTAATTTAGTGTAGCTGGAGTTTCATAAGCATTCACTCCTGTGTCTGATTATAGTTCTTGTGTTGGTCAGTTCTCCTCTTCCTCCTGCCTGGAATGTTCTTGAGAGCTTCTTGACCATCATCATAATAATCATCTACCCATCTGTGTGTTGAAAGTTGGGGTTTGATGCTCTGACAGGTTTGCATGCAAGCTAAAATGAAATCTGGGCCAGAGAAAAAGTTAAAGCCCAGAGGGTTTTGGGGAAGCATGTGCAAACCTGCACCCCAGACTCCTGGAGCAGGAACAACCAACAAGTCATACTTCATGTGTTTTGATTCACTTTTGTGAATGCTTTACATTATAGCTGGGGGGACGACAAACGGGATTGTTGTTACAGTTACAGTATTAATTGGAGTACAGACAATTTTCTGTTGTTCCAAAGTTGTGGGGGGGACCTGTCCTCCGTATAGCCGCTGGTATTTCCAATCCTACATGATGGACATATGGAGTTGTCATGTCTGGACATTGGTTGGCATCCACATTTCAACGCAATTCTGTGTTCTGGCATCTAATAACCATGTTGACCAGTGTAGCATGTCTTGTCTTATGTCCAGATGTGGTGTGTTGGTTTAGAGTGTTAATATTCTTAAAATATAAAATGTTTTCTGGTGTATTTGGTCTAATGACACCACCTTCACGCCATGCTGTTAACCTTGAGACCTTTTATAATACGGCCTTTTATAATAAAGTGAATCTCATGAAACCTGTCAAGAGGTTGCATTTCAGCACAAACTGAAAAGCAAAAAAGTGTTAAATAACATCTTCGTAAAGATATTTAAGTCTATAGTGAGGAGGACCATTAAGATTTTAAATGTTGTCACATTATCTTCAATACTATTAACCTCATTTTCCTACTAAATTATTGTATAAAAGTATTTTGATTCACCATTGAAATGGGGAGAGAATTATCAATTGCTGTAATGACAGTAAAGCTCATGAAAATCATGCGTCTATGCTAACAGGAAAAGTGCTATAAAAAACAACATTTCTACTTTTGGTTTTGGGCTGAAAAATTGACTGGTTTTGCAAGATTCACACACTAATCTAAGTGAGTCAAACATTCAGATGCCGTTTCCTTAATGCATGATTAATCGCTTAGTCAATGGCATGCCTATAATTGTCTGATTCTTTTGTGTTAAAAGTATGTGATAGCCTGATGAAGTTTATCACGAGACAGACACGTGTTGTTTAAAACACTTATAAATGTTTTTTTTCGTAGGATTGCCTTAAACATGTGGCCTGTGGCTATTGCGCAGTCCTCGCTTATGTGCAAGCAACAGTTAAATGGTTTTCAGTGAAAACAATGCCTTTCAGTTTGTCCATGTTTTTAGTGCATACCCAGAAAAGCAAGTTCTAAAACCGGTCAATCCTGCGGTCTGGCATTAAGCAGTGTAAGGCTGTAGGCTGTTATTCCCACTGATGTAAAGTTATGTCACGTTAAACAAAAGTAATTTAAAATTGAGCCATTGAAATTAGACTAATTTTGAACGGGGTGAGGTGTTGGTTTACATTTACAGTTATGTAGATTTGATTCAGTGGATTGAAGGCCTTAAATCCAACATGACATCATGACTTTGCGTAAACATACACGCCACTTTCAATTCAAGTGGCGTGTTATCTATACGCATTTTGAGCTATCCGCGTGTATGTCCACGCCGAAATCTTTGAGCTATCCGCGTGTATGTCCACGCCGAAATCTTTTGCGTGTATGTCTACGCCATTAAATGTCCGAGTGATTCCGCGTGTATGTGTACGCCGTTAAATGTCCGAGCGAAACGAAGCAAAATCTATATCTACATCTGTGGAGCGATATTTCTTTTCCTAGGATGGTAGGAGAAGACTCATAAATGGTATTAACCCCAGTGACGGGTAGGTTTAGGGACGGGGTTGGGGTTGGGGTTGGGGTAGGTCATATATTTATATATACATAATACAGTAATATAACGTTAAGTCAAAGGCGTTGATAAACACGCTGAAAAGCGATTATGCGTGTTGATAGCACGCCAAAAATGAAAATACGAATTGGCGTGTCATACATACGCCATTTCATGAGATCAGTCTGTTAAATCAGGTAATGTGTGTGACTCAAGTGTGATTTCACTTTGGGTTTCTTCTTTGATCGTGATTCAGCTCTTACTTCATAAACTGTTAAAATCTGTCAAACTTCAGATTTGCTTTAATCATCTGTTCAGCTTCATACTCCTTAAAGGGATAGTTCACCCAAAAATCTTGTGGAAGCTCAAACGTGCTGCGTAACATGAGAATGAACCTCATTGGTTCTTTCTGAAGCTCAAACGTGCTGCGTAACACGAGAATGAACCACATTGGTTTTTGCGGAAGCTCAAACGTGCTGCGTAACATGAGAATGAACCTCATTGGTTCTTGCTGAAGCTCAAACGTGCTGCGTAACATGAGAATGAACCTCATTGGTTCTTGCTGAAGCTCAAACGTGCTGCGTAACATGAGAATGAACCACATTGGTTCTTTCTGAAGCTCAAACGTGCTGCTTTACACGAGAATGAACCTCATTGGTTCTTGCTGAGGCTCAAACGTGCTGCTTAACACGAGAATGAACCTCATTGGTTCTTGCTGAAGCTCAAACATGCTGCGTAACATGAGAATGAACCTCATTGGTTCTTGCTGAAGCTCAAACGTGCTGCGTAACATGAGAATGAACCACATTGGTTCTTTCTGAAGCTCAAACGTGCTGCTTTACATGAGAATGAACCTCATTGGTTCTTGCTGAGGCTCAAACGTGCTGCTTAACACGAGAATGAACCTCATTGGTTCTTGCTGAAGCTCAAACATGCTGCGTAACATGAGAATGAACCTCATTGGTTCTTGCTGAAGCTCAAACGTGCTGCGTAACATGAGAATGAACCACATTGGTTCTTTCTGAAGCTCAAACGTGCTGCGTAACATGAGAATGAACCTCATTGGTTCTTGCGGAAGCTCAAACGTGCTGCGTAACATGAGAATGAACCTCATTGGTTCTTGCTGAAGCTCAAACGTGCTGCGTAACATGAGAATGAACCTCATTGGTTCTTGCTGAAGCTCAAACGTGCTGCGTAACACGAGAATGAACCTCATTGGTTCTTGCTGAGGCTCAAACGTGCTGCTTAACACGAGAATGAACCTCATTGGTTCTTGCTGAAGCTCAAACGTGCTGCGTAACATGAGAATGAACCTCATTGGTTCTTGCTGAAGCTCAAACGTGCTGCGTAACATGAGAATGAACCACATTGGTTCTTGCTG